TCTTCGATCTTCGTCAAATTCGAACGGCCGTGATAGCTGTCGGACTTCGCGATCTTTCCCTTCATTCTATCTGCAATTGTCGACTTGGGGACATTGTATATCTCTGCGGCGCGTCGGATACTCAAGCGCGGTGTTGATCGAATCGCATTGATCGCGAGAAGAACTCGGTTTTCTGGGAAGCTGTCGGACATTGTTGTGGTAGAGAAAACGCGTGTTGAAGTTGGGTGGTTATGGTGGGGGAAAATGTGTCCGAGTCAATGGGGTGTCCGAGTCAATGGTGGATCACGTTATATATATATATACGAAGATCTTGTTCTATATGTGCTCCAGAAAACTGTAGAACGCTGATTCCTTTTCTCAGTGCTAACCATAGGAATTGTCTTTGGGTGATGAGGGCTGGAACCTTCAAGGCAGACTGTCAACGACGCGAAGTCGCGATCGGGTCTCTTCTGCTTGGCAAGTGGGGCGCCTTAGATTGCTTGCATAAGTGAGTACAAAACCCCAACCCTAGTTTGCCCCTCCTTCACGACCCTCCTCAAACTTACATGCTTGTCTAGGAGGGAGAGGATACTGTCTATTCAACTCTTTAAAGACACGCTACGGTTATTGTATAGCACTTTCAACTAGTCTACCACCCTACGGACTTGAACTTGGCGTCCTCGCTGAGTCAGGCGTGCTTTCTTTGGCCAGCGGCGATGGGATCTCAGGAGTCACAGACCGAGATTCCACCCGAGGCCGCGTCTTAACCCCGGCGGCCAGCTTCTTGCGCTTCTTGTCCGAGGCCTCAGACGATGTGCTGCCCTTACGCGCGATGGTAGGATGCTCTTCCACCTCAAATTTAGGAGTCCCGCTCCGAGATCCAGTCGCGCTCGACATGCTGCCCCGGCGCAGGTTGGTGCTGCCGCTCCTCGCCCGCTTGTGCTCATGCACCACAGCCGCGTGCCGCGAATGGTGGGGTTTCTCATTAGAAACCACCACTGGCTTTTCTGCAGCCGCTCTGCGCCATGGAAGCCACGAGAACCAACCGCTCTTCTTCTGCCTGGGTTGCTTGCGATCCCGCTCCTTGAGCTTGGCCCGCAACAGCGCACGCCGCTCGTTCTCCTTCTCCCAATACTCGGCCCTGTAGAGCTCCCAATTCTCCCGGAAGGTAGGCGAAAACGGCTTGGCCAGAAGTAAAAGTTTGACGTAGTCCCCACCGGGCGCCAGATCCTCCTCATGCCCGCCCTTCTCCTCATCGCAGTTCGTGACATGCACAGTCGGGTGGCTCTCCCTCGACAGCCCCAGCTCTCTATCCACCTCCCTCAGCAGCGCGGGGTCCACCCAGCGGTACGAGCTCCCGTTGTTGGAGAACAGCCCATACGTGAGAAACCAGCCGGCCGTGCTCAGCGCCTCCTTCCACCACGGCCGCTTCATGAGCACCAGCTTGCAGTTGAACGCCCGCAGCCCGCGGTTCGACACGGCGAACCACCGCCGAGGCCAGCGCACGCCCCGCTCCCAGATGCCTGTCGCCCACACCAGCAGGCCCGTCATGACTCCCCCCAGAAAGCACATGTGCTCCGTCGTCTCGACCACCCAATACACGCTGCCGCCGACGCCGCGGCCGTCCTCGCGCGGGGCGAAGAACAGCGCGTAGCCGAAGAAGGCCGTCCAGAGCGTTAGCAGAGACAGGAAGAAGGTGTGGTGGCGGCGGCGGGCGCGGAGCTCGAGGTATTGGGCGCGCAGGGACGCTTCGAGGATGAGGAGGTTGAGGTAGATCATCGAGGGGGAGCTCGGGGTGTGCGAGAGTGGGTCGCCTGGCTTGCCCGGGGTCGGCGGAGTGTCGGACGAGGCGATCGGGGTGGTGCCGCCAGCTGCTCTGGCGGGGTTTTGCCCCGGGAGGGTGACCGGGGCGCCTTTGACAATGGAGTCGAGCGTGTTGGACATTGTGACGGTCGCGCCGTGGATAGGGAGGGCTGAGGCGGCCGGAACGCCGGACGGGCTCGGTGCCGTGATCCGTGGACCCTTTCGCAACAGTGCCTTGCGGCGGAGGCGGAGCGAAGAGGGTATGGATAATTTCACTGAAGCGGTATGCAAGGGATGCCGGCAGGAGGACGTCAGCTGTCCGGCCAAGCCGGTGATTGTTTGCAAAATTTCGTAGTTCCGGACTTTGGGGTATTATCGCCGCCGGTGTTGTTCTCGAGTCATCGTCGATTTTTTTGGATTGGTGTTGCTGTGCCAGATGAGCAGTTCAATTGAGATGGGACGTTTTTTTTTTTTCTTGTTTTTTGGCGGCAAAAATAATTGATGATTGCATGGACTCGATCTTCTTCGCGGCCTGGAGTCAGTCCGCAGAATCAGAAGTTCCCAGATTCCGCCGGACGTCATCTGGCGGGCTAGCGTAGAGCAAGGGTCGGGGTTACGCGGATCGGGCGCCGGAGCGATGCAAAATCCGAAATCCTGGGGCTGCTGCCGCGGTCCCTGCCTGACAGGGGCGTAGGCTGCCCTACTGTGCGTGGCAATCGGTGCCCCTGGAATCGTCCGGAGTCTCCAGCCCGCCAACAGGGCAGACAATGCAGGACCGCCTTCTGATAAGGGAGGGCGTCCCTACGCGCTCCCACCTCGCAGTGCTTGCACCATGCTCAAAACCTACCCGACGACCTTTTTACTGCCAAAGCGACTGAATCTGGTGTCTCTGGTGGGCCGGCGTGATCCCGACTTTGCAGGTAGCCAGAGGAGCAGCCTCTCAACCGACGCCTCGCTCCCCGCGCAACCAGACCCTCGACAGCCCATCCTCCTTGTCTCGCACCAGGCGACAATGGCCCAGTCGCAGTCGAACAGTCCGCCTTCCCCACGCCCAAAGGTGGCTTACTTTCCTCTAGGGTACAAAGAGGCTGCACAGCAATGGGCAAGTTTACCACCCCCCCTCCCGCGGCAATCCCCGCTACACCGACGCCCTGCTGACTGATGACCGCTCACAGTGGACATGTGTATCTTCTCGCCAGGCCGAGCGCAACGTCCTCTCCTACGTTCCCTTCATTCGAGAAGCCACCTCCGAAATTACCAGTTCACAGTTACAAGACCTCGCCAAGAGCGATCCTTTCGGGCAGAGAATATGGAGGTCATCCATGGTCCAACTCGCGGGGAAGAACCGTGCGCTCAACGAGCTGGCCATTGAACGTGTCGGCGAGCAAGCCGACGACACGCTTGTAATGCTGCACGGCTACGGTGCTGGTTTGGGCTTCTTCTATAAGAACTTTGAGCCGCTGAGCCGGGCGCCGGGCTGGAAGCTCTACGCGCTGGACATGCTGGGATACGGCAACTCGACGAGGCCAAACTTCAGAATTCACGCCAAGGACCCCAAGGAAAAAATCGCCGAGGCAGAGGGCTGGTTTATTGACGCGCTTGAAGAATGGCGCAAGGCCCGAAACATAGACAAGTTCACCTTGCTCGGCCACTCATTAGGCGGCTACCTGGCTGTCTCATACGCCCTCAAATATCCCGGCAGGTTAAACAAGCTCATTCTCGCTTCGCCCGTCGGCATTCCCGAAGACCCATGGGCCGTCAACGCCGAAATGCCCGAGCCCGGAGAATCCACACTGGAGAACGAGTTCACCCAGGACCAAGAGAGCATTGTCAAAGGTGAGCCCGCCGGCGCCAACGCCGCCTTCGTCCGCGCGTCCCCAGCCGACAAAAAGGCGGCCGCCTCCCAGCCCGACATCACCACGACCCCGCCCAAGCGCCCTATCCCCAACTGGCTCGTCTGGCTGTGGGATGCCAACGTCTCCCCGTTCAGCATCGTCCGCCTGGCCGGGCCCCTAGGCCCCCGCTTCGTCTCGGGCTGGACATCCCGCCGCTTCAACCACCTGCCTCCGGACGAGAAGGAGGCCCTGCACACGTACTCGTACGCGCTCTTCCGCCAAAAGGGCAGCGGCGAGTATGTCCTGCCCTACCTCCTCGCTCCCGGCGCATACGCCCGCAGCCCGGTCATCAACCGCATCCGGGAGGTCGGGCGGCAGGTCATCCAGCCCGCCACCGAGACCACACCCGCCATCAGGGAGACGGGGCTGCCGGTCGTGTTTCTATACGGCGAGAACGACTGGATGGACGTCGCGGGGGGTTATGCCGCCGAGGAGAAGCTGAAGCAGCGGTCTCGCGAGGTGCTGTTGCACGGCACCGTGGAGGAGAAGAGGAACGAGAATGGGAGCGCCAAGGTCGTCGTGGTGAGAAAGGCGGGACACCATCTCTATCTGGATAACCCGGAGGAGTTCAATTACATCATCAGGAAAGAGATGGAGGATACCCGGCAGAGGACGTTGAAGTTGAAGGAGATGGCCAAAGAGTAGAGCGTGCCGGGACAACAGAACCAGCCGGGCGGGTTTAGACGTTGATGGTGTTCGGAAGGCGTTGAGGAGTGCCGTCCGCTGTGTTTAGACATGATTGACTGAGCGGGTTTATCTAGAGCGTGGCTTACAAACATACTGCACCAGGTGTGTTTTCACATTTGTCTTACACGTTGAATAAATAGCTTGCGGTTGATGCTCGCATGTAAGATAGAAGAATCCATGATCCAGACATGGGGGAGAGTGGGACGTGTCCTGAGAAGAAATTATGAGGGAGTGGAGAGGAACAAACAGAAAATGGGCAAGTGCTAATAAGTCAATCAGACTAAGAAAACGGAGGCGGCGGTATCACAGAGAGGTGGACAGCCTTTCGTAATGCTTTGTCTCCACCCACCTTCACTAGGTACCGAGAGTTCCGAGTGAGTGGTGGCTAGGTTGTAGGTGGTTTTTGAAACTCAACCCTTAAACCCTTGGTAGCCCTCCACACCACAATCCCGCCGCTTGACAACCAGAATTCTGGCAACCTTCCCGCCGACTACCCAGCAAGTATCACTTTGTACTGGAGGCAAAACTGAGTTTGCCCTGCTGTCAATTCTGCTGCTACTAACAGCCCTATCGACAGAAGCCCACCAAAGACCCAGGGGGAAGTAGAACCTAACCAGAACTCAGGCACATTCGGGTCTCATACCAAGTCACTGGAAAGGCTCAATACCAACGCTGTCATACACAGGCAACCATCGTATCTCAGTTATGGTTGGTAAACGTAAGAAGACGAGTAGACGGCTAACAAAAGAACAAAGGGTATCACAGCGACCTGTTACACCCACAAACCAAACCCGAAAACCAACAGCTAGACAAAGGAGCTATTACGGTTGTACCTCTTCAACAAAATAGAGCACACAACCCTATTCCATCAGAGGGACCCATTTCATAACCGCAGCCAATCTGGTACAGACATGGCTTCTAACGTTGCCCAGCCGAGAAAAAGGGAAAAGAAAACACCGAGCCGTGGGCTCAGGAGAGGTCGCCCCCAGCTACGCCTGCTAGCGAGGTACCTTATACAATACATAAACAGAATGCTCCCACCCGCTGTTCTTCTCTCTCTTACACAACAGTATATACGCTGCAGTCACACCGTCACTCACAGCCCGTACCACAGGTCCATGATCAACGATCCGTCGACTCGCGCACCTCCTCCACTTGTGCATCATGCAACACGCTTCTCAGATCCGGCAGAGGCAGCACCCACCCCGCCAGCTTCAGCAGCCTCACCCGTCCCGGTACCCGTCCCCGCCGCAGGCCTAGACGGCGACGGCGCAAAAGGAATGACCCCTGTGCTCGTAAACACAGGCAAATCCCCCCTTTTGACCGGCGACAACCCCTGAATTGGCGTAGCGCACACGTTTGGCGGGAGCCACTGTAGCGGCTTCTGTTGGTAATGCTGGTCTCCCTCAAGTGATACAGGCGGTGGCCCATCAGGCAGGTACGGGATGAATGCATTCTGTGCTACAGCTGGTACTTCCGGGATAGGGCTGCTCAGGCCTGATGAGGATGGCGGTTGTGGTGGTGGCGGCGGCGAACTGGCTGGGAGCGGGACACGGCGCGGGTCGGTCATTGGCGGGGAGATTAAAGGACCGGAGACTGTTGGAATCGGAGTTTCGTCGAGCGATGGAGTAGAAGGATGGATAGGGGTTTGAACCGTGTGCGGTGCTGGTGCGGGAGATGGGGTAGGTGAAGGGAGGTGTTGGGTGTCTGCTGCGGTTGCGGAGGATGGGTCGGATGTTGGTGTATCTGAAGGACGGGAGGGGTGAAGGGGAAGTTTGTTCTCCAATGGCGGCGAGGGCACGGACGCAGTCTCTGTCTTTGAGTCATTGGAGAGTTTCCCTCGCGCTAGACGTTCGCGCTCGCGGGCCTCCTTTTGCGCCTTGGTTACGACGGTGATCTTGATCTTCTTCATCTCCCCGGCCAGTTTGTCTATTTCACTACCAGTCTTGTCAAATGATGCGGCCCCAGTCGGCCCCGTGAAAGCATTTTGCGACCGCTGACAAGTTGTTGTAGTTGTGGGCTTCTTGGCCGTTTTTGGTGCGCGAGGGATTGCCTCTTTCTTCGCTGGAGCCCTCGTTTTCTTGACATTGAGAGCGCTGCCGCTCGGTGCTGCAACGCCGGTCGAGGACTCAGGCATGCTGGCGACATCAGCCGTGGAGTTGCCATCGATAGGTACGGTCGGAGGAACTGGCGGCCCGCTATCCAAGCCTTCGGAGGACACCACGGTCGACGCCACACTAAGGCGTCGTGATGACCTTGCCTGTTTTCCAGGTCCTCCGGAAGCGCCTTCGGCTGCTAGGACACCTGGTCCCGCCACGGTCTTCCGCCTGCTCTTGCGATCAACGTCGTCCTCAACGGGCAGCGGCTTTGGTTTCCGTTCCCTCAGTCCCATCCTGGTAGGCGGCCGATCCTCTTGAGTACGGGCGGCGTTTGGCGGTAGGGACCCCGCCAGGGCAGCCTGACGCTCGCGCCGGATCTTCGTGGCCTCTGCATTGAGCTCTTCCGCCGTGCAGCTGGTTGTCTGACGTTCAGTGGGGATGAGAAGCTTGCTAAGCTCAAGGGCGGCGACGGTCCAGGGAACATCCGGAGGTGGCGGCGGTTCGAAGAAAACTCTCGGCACCCCAATGCTCGAGGCTGACGAAAGCCCGGATACGCTGCGCCGGTTCTTCAGGTTCACCACTTTTGCCTGCGATGCTTGAGTAGGCGACGAATAGGTCGGCGGCGGAGAGTTGCGCACAGGTCTCGGCACTGGTACGGCGGCTGCCAGGGTGGCCTCAAGCTTGTCAAGCTCCGCAGCCGACCACCATGACGACTCGTATCGACGAATCCCCCGCTCGCTCGCGCAGGAATCTTTGCGAGCGCGCTGCTGAGCAGGTTTGTGGCTGGTTTCAGAGGCAGAGCTGGTGTACTCCTGGTCCTTGTTGCTCGGCCCATCGCCGGCGAGACCGCAGAGGTGGCTGAAAACGCCCGAGCAGAGGGCACGGTCGCTGTACCCGCCTTCCAGAACACTGATGATTCGACCTTCCACGCTCGTACCGTCTTCTGCCGCAATCCGGACCACATCGCGGGCGAAGCGGGCGTAAAATTCAGTCGGCACGTTGACATGATGTCGTTGCATGGCAGGATCCTCATACTCGCTGGCGTCAAAGCCGGCCGAGAGGAAAATGGCGGCTTTCGAGTTCAGACCTGAGGCCCGTAACCGCTCCGTGTGGCTCTTCAGGTAAGCACGCGTCTTCTCGAGCAGGACGGCGTACTTGGACTCATACAAGGCCCAGAAGTCGGCTTCGGTTTTCCATGGCTGCAGGTGGACATTCCATATGCTCTGACCGTGCGCATTGTCGATGCAGATACTGGCGTTCCTAACCTTATCCTCATCACCCATCTCGCACGGATACGAGTTGATGTCGTGCAGGCTGAAATAGCCGATCGACGTCTTCTTCCACCACGCCGCGTTCTTGGCCAAACCGACGCCCCTGGCATTATGCTGCCATGCAATGGACTGGGAACCGTCTCCATGATGCAAGTCGAAGTCGATGATGGCCGCATGCGTCAGGCCGTGACTAAGCACGGCGTGCATGATGCCGACGTGGACGTTGTTGATCCAGCAGAAGCCAGAAGGGTGGGTTGCAGAGCAGTGGTGCCCCGGCGGCCGGATGGCAACAAAAGCCCGCCGAGGTCCTTGCGGTCGAAAGACGGCATCTACCGCGTCACATACTCCCCCAAGAGCACCTTCAATAGCCTCGAGAGATTCGGAGCAGAGGTACAGGTCGCCTTCATGGAACTTTTGCGGTGTTTCCGCATTCAAGCCTCGATCCATATCTGGACGCTGCAATTCTTTACCGCCCCCGGCGAGCTTCGCCTCGGCTGTATCGCACATAATCTTGAGCTCCTCCATCCATTTGGTACCATGTACGTTGGTCACTGTCTGGGATCCCAGCGAGAGCCGCCTGGTTGATTTCTGAATCCGGAAGGGGATTGATGGCAATGACCCAGCGTCTGACTCGAGGTGTAGGGGAAAGGCTCCATCCTGATGTCGCTCGCCGAGTCGCACATACGCCGCCGACACACCCAAGACGCAGGCCTTGATCCTCTCGGGCCGCTCGACGATTGTGCTGAGCTGGGCGCGTGACGCGCGGGGCCGGGAGTACCGATGGCCATAACAGGCGTCCTGGAGAATCACCACAGTCTCAGCCCGGCGGGTGGGCTCTGGGCCGTGGTGGATCTCGAGCTCGACCTTGAAGTGCGAGCTGGCGACGGAATGTGGGGTCGGGATGGGCGTCTCTGGCGGCTCAGGCGACATGCTTCTGAAAGGCGATCTGCCCGACCTAGGTCTGCTGGGCGACAGGATTCCGGCGGTGCTTGGGCGACGGGATGGTGGTACGCCGTTGGCAGAATGGAGCGAGTTCATGGATGCCTTCCGCAGCAAAGTTGGAGTGGCAGATCGGGAAGATGGGACGATCGAAGCCGAGGAGCTGCGGAGGGGACTGCGCATGGCATTGCTAGGGCGGGGGGAGCTGGGCGACATGCCGGCGACTGGTTTGAGCGGATTGGACCCGGCGGCGGGACGAGGAGAGCGGGGCGTTTCGGCGGGTGACGATGTTGTAATGGTCAGGCGCTTCAACGACTGCGCCAGGTCACCGTCACCCTCCTGCCCTTCATTGTTGGGACTTGGTCGAGGTGCAGACATTGTGCTAGCGGCGGAGGGAGGATAGTCTGTCGGCCAGCTGCAAGCAAGGGTCCAGGCAAATCAGAAAGGGGTCGTTGCATCAACAAAGCCCCAACAGAGCTGCACGCCTGTTGCACCCGGAAAGACCAGGACAAGCAAGCAAAATCGTTGGTCAAAATGGCAGAAACTCAGAAATGTGGCAGATGAATGTGCATGCAAGGCGACTTGGGCATGTAGTGCAGACGCATGAATGCATCCTCCAAGGTCGGAATCAAACAAACACCACAACCTGAGTCGCGTCGGGACGTCATAGGAACGGATAAATGCTGTCACGTGACTGCCACTTGCAAAAATGACTTGTGGAGCTGAACTGTGGGTTTACTGCATGCTCAGCCGCTCAAATCACGCCAAGCTTAACTGGTTATTAGCAGACGTTCATCTCAGCTTCGCAAGTTGACAAATGGAAATCATGATGGCGATGGGAGATCTTCCCACGAGTTCGTTGGATATCGGACGACAAGCCATCAATGCCATCTTGGTGCTCGTTCACCAGCTTTCAGCATCGCGCCAAGGCATTCGTTTGACTGGGAGCTGTAGCTAGGCCTTGTTGGGATTTCAGGATCTTGTGAGCTACACAGCCTTGCCGTTAGCTCATTTCAGGAATCGCTTAAGGACTTCACGCTAATAATTCTCGAGTTTGCCATTCGAGAGCACTCTCGCCTCACTTTGCTTGGTACCTCTCGATCTCAAGTGACAAGAATGACCCGTCTATCCTTCGCGGCTGTTGCCCTTGCTCAATGCACCTCGGCTCTCCTGGACGGGTTTGTCGATGTGCTTGTGAATGTCGAGCATCGGGTGCCAGCCGATGCCTTCGCTGGCGTCCTGAACGCGGCCGGCGGGTCCCACGACGGTTTGGAGGCTTGTTACACGGCCAACGACATTCTCGAATCTTGTAAGAAAGTTTTTTTTCATGTGTGGAATGTTCATACCCCCCCTTTATGGCTATCTCGGGAGCCAACTCACTGCGCCCGAGACTGGGCATTGGCTCCCGAAACCCTCGCGATTCACCTGGAATAGGAAACTCACAGCTGACCTCTGCTCGGAGGCTACGATGCCGGCTACATGGAGCCCACGGCCCCGGTCGCTGCCGCGGATCGGTGTTTGTGTTGTGATGGCACCACGGCCATCGCCAGCGTGTACTCTAGTTGCGCATCCTACGCCCTGAATGAAGTGCCTGCACTTACCGCGGACTATTCTGGTACGCATCTCTCTTCAAACGCCTCTCAGTTCGGATGTCATTTGGCTCTGACATGTCTCAGTTCTTTCAAATTTGTACATCTATTGCGCGGCCATGGCGACCTGTACCAGTACAACACGTCAAGCGACCTCACGGGCTACCAACACCCGGGCTGCTGGCACTGTCACGCTACCCGCAGCATGTTCGTCCTTCACCGAGATCTATAACTCGTGCTCGATTAAGGTGGGATTTGAGACAGCTGGAGTCACGGATGCGGTGGAATGTCTATGGTGGGTACATTGCTTCATCCTGACAATGACCATGTTGTGAGCTTTGACTCACCGATATATTAGCCCCAGCAGTTCAGGCGACTGGAACACAAAGTTTCAGGATTATGCCAGTAGTTGTGCCCCCTGGGCACGAACCGGTTTCCCGAGAGATTACGAAGGTACATGCTTGGACTCTCCATCATTTCCCCTTTTGCACAAGTGGCAGGTCAGGACCCTAACAGACTCCCAGTCATCTCGCGCCTCGCGACAGTGTGCGACGACTACCCGCCCGGCTCCACGGCACCGCCTCTGGTTTTCACTACCGTCGGCACTCGTACTGGAAACGGTTTTGGGTTTCCTTCGGCAACACGGACTTCTTCGACAACCAGTTCTGTTAGTACGACCAGCGAGGCTGCTGCTGCGAACGCGAGTACGTCCAGCTCGACGGCTCTCGCTGCTCGGGGAGTGGCAGTCCCTGGGGCCTTGGCCTGGTTTGCAAACTTGGGGTCCTTTATCCTCTCGCTTTTCATCTTGCTCTAAGCGCTACCGAGTAAACTACTATGGCATGTTGAGGTGGTGGGCAATCAAGGGCAGGTTGTGTCGTGCCGACGAGGTTAGTCATGCACAAATAACGGGTAATGGTGGACATTTTGGGATGGCTTCTTGTATAGCATAGGTTTGATATCTGTTTTCGCCCACTAGAGTCCGATGTGTCTTTCATTGACCTCAATGGAATTGAGAACGTCTTGAGATATCCACCTGGACGTTGGTATAAATTCCAAAGACGGTGATACCCTCAACGCAGGCAGAGAGCGCCCTCCTTTGAGGGCAGCAACAAACTTCGGTCAGAGGTTGGCTTAGCCTTGGCGAGCTATAGCAAATAAATGTGTCCACGCTCTTGGCATCCAAGGAATCGGTGTTTGGTGAAGTCTGGGAACGAGTTCATCGGGTTAGACGATAATCCAACCGGCACCTGGGTTTTGCGAGGGCCCGGTGGCCGGGCTGCGATCGGAGGACAGCGGATATCAGATCCGACGGGGCCAACATCGGTCGCCATGGAGCGATATATGTACACCGGAATACACAATCGACAGCTCTCATGATTGACAGGCGGCTGGCATTCCCCAGGAAACCAACTGCTAACGACTCCGCCCATCTCGTCGCTCGTCCGATTCAATCGCCCAGTGACCAGTGAGCGGTCCAGGAAGATTGTGAGATCAGTTCCAAAGATATCCGAATCGTGATCGACAGGTCCATCAACAAGTGGGGCTCTGTCCAAGCACTGGTGGGGGTAATTCAGACGAGACCCTGAGAATTTCTGGGGCGCTGCCCCCATCGCTGGGTTTCATCAACCGACGGGACTGCTTAAGCCTATTCATAGCCGGGACAACAGAGTTGGGCAACCACCGGGGCGGAGGATGTGGGCCACAAGAAGGATGGCTTCCAACAGAACTTTTACTTCGCCGGCGCTCACGTTCGAGCTGGTTGCGCGGTGCCCGGTAAGCTACCCCAGGAACCGTTAGTAGTGTCGCATTGAGAGGTGGTCGAGCTGACGACAAATGCCGGATACAGGTCACTCGCGCGCGCGCCTCGATTCTGACCCTGCCCCACGGCGCAGTCAACCTTCCTATCTTTATGCCCGTGGCTACGCAGGCGTCACTCAAAGGCCTCACACCAGAGCAGCTCGAAGCCACAGGATGCCGCCTCTGTCTCAACAACACCTATCACCTCGGCCTCAAGCCCGGCCAGGAGGTCCTTGACGCGGTCGGTGGCGCGCACAAACTCCAAGGATGGAACCACAATATTCTCACAGATAGCGGCGGGTATGTGTTCTGCTTCGCTTCTCTCTCGCAGTCCCTGACTATCTGACGGGCCAGCCCAGGTTCCAGATGGTCTCCCTCCTGAAACTAGCCAACATCACCGAAGAAGGCGTGCGCTTCCTGTCGCCGCATGACGGCAGCCCGATGCTGCTGACCCCGGAGCACTCGATGAGCCTGCAAAACTCGATCGGCTCCGACATCATGATGCAGCTCGATGACGTGCTTGTCACGACTTCGCCAGACAAGGCGCGCATGCGCGAGGCTATGGAGCGCAGCGTACGCTGGTTGGATCGGTGCATTGCCGCTCACAAGAACCCAGATACACAGAATCTGTTTTGCATTATCCAGGGCGGGCTGGATCTGGATATGCGCCGCGAGTGCTGCCGCGAAATGCTGGCGAGGAATACGCCAGGGATTGCCATTGGGGGGCTGAGCGGTGGTGAGGCAAAAGATGACTTCTGCAAGGTCGTTGCTGCCTGCACAGAGCTTCTGCCGGACCTGAAACCCAGATATGTCATGGGCATCGGATATCCCGAGGATTTGGTTGTCAGCGTCGCCCTGGGGGCCGACATGTTTGACTGCGTCTGGCCCACGCGGACGGCGCGGTTCGGCAATGCCATCACTAAGCATGGCATGCTCAACATGAAGAGGGAAATGTATGCGGCCGACTTTGGACCCATCGAGGAAGGCTGCGGGTGCCCCTGCTGCAGACCTACCGAGGAAGAAGGGGCTATGGGGATCACGAGGGCGTTTGTCCACCACAATGCGGCCAAGGAGACTGTGGCGGCACATCTGCTGACATTGCACAACGTATGGTACCAGTTGGATTTGATGCGCCAGGCGCGGCAAGCCATCATTGAGGACAGATTCCCGGCGTTTGTGAAGGGCTTCTTTGGGAATCTATACCCGGATAGAAATAGCTACCCGACATGGGCTGTGGACGCCTTAAGGGGCGTTGGTATTGACTTGATACAAACTTAGATTCTCTCGGTTCAATCCTTACATTCAGTGACTTCTACCTCAGCCGACGCAAGAAAGGGAGTTGTCCTTGTCCAAGGGAATCAGGGGTTGAATCCAAGATTCAGGGTTAGGGTCTCTCACTGGTTCAAGCTTGGCACCTCTCGGATCGCCAGCCAATGGGAATAGGCAGGCTCCGAATTTTGCAGCAACGCCAGGTTTCGGCTGCGGCCCTCCGACCTCAAAACCATCGCAGATACGGCTCTTTCGGCTCAGCCAACAGTCACAATGGCGTCAAGAAGCGTGTCCCCCGGGGGCGCGCTTCTACGCGCCTCACGGATGTTCTCGCTGCCGAACCCAATCCCTCCTCCGGTCACCGATTCCTCGTCTGGCGCCACCAGCTTCAGCTCCAACACGGCGACGCTCGACTTTCCAACCCATCAGGTCATCACCACCCTGAGCTCCGCACGAAAGCAGGGAGATTGGGGTCTTAAGCGGCCGCTGCCCCTCAAATCTACCACGAGATCGACGCATCCGATGCTGCGCGTCAAGGCCATCGACACCATCGAGCAGATCACCGATTACACGTCGGCCACCGACCACGGCATGACGCTCCGCAAGTTCCAAGAGTTGGGGATGCCGCTTACGGCACGCCGCCCGGCCGGGGGGGACACTGGAGATAACAGCAAGGGCAAGCAAACTGCTACAATGAACCTGCCGCAGAAGTCTGTGTTTGAGGACGAGCTCGACGTCACCGATATGCACCCTGACAAGCGCGCCAAAGCTATCGACAACCGGTGGAGATTCAATGGGCCCTGGCTTGCTGGCATGACAGAGGGCAAATTTCAGAAATGGCTGGAAAAGGAAGTCAGGCCCCGGCGACCAGAATTCCGCGAGTTTCTGAGAAAGAAGATTGCCGGCGAGCTGCGCGCGGCCGCGGCAAATGAGGCTCTAGACAAGGGCACGGAGGCACCCGGTCCTGTCGGGCCGAGCTCAGTGACGGAGGACCAGCTCATCGACTACCTGCGGAAGCTGCGGCATAATAACCAGGCGCTCTACGACCTGGTTGGCCAGTTCCTTGACCTTGCGCCGCTCATACCTCCCAATATCTCCCAGCTAGACCTACCCGCAGGGTTCAGCAATATCGAGTGGCGGCAGATGAGGAACCCGTACGCCGAGGGAGGTCCTCCGGTCACACACCCCTCGGCAGGTATATCGTACCTGCGCACGTCTATGTACATGGACAACCACCCGATCTACGGGCCCCAGAAGCAGCACCCCTCGGTCGTGGCCAGGATCGTGAAACCGCGCCGCCAAGCGCAGGCGTCGCCGGCTAAGCTCGGCGTGGCGGGCTTCATCGTCAACACGCCGCTCGGGGACACGAAGTTCAACAGCAAGAACAACGACCTGTTCGACAAGATTGACCCCAGCGTCGTAGGCGGGCCCAAGGTCTGGGTGCAGCCGAAGCGGGCGAGCGTGGACGCCAACGGCCGCGTTGTGTTGACTGTGGATGATGCGCCGGCCGAGGCCAGGCTCGTTGCGCAGGAGCTGCTCGGCTTGGCAACCTGCTTGGGCGCGCGGCGGGACGAAGGACAGGCGGGCCGGCCAGAGTCGGCGAGTGAAATTCGGCAACGCTACGCGGCCGCCGATGCGCCGGCCATGTCGAGCATTCAGAACTACGGGATTCAGCGGTGATGTGCCAGGACCTGCCTTTCATGGTCGTACAATGCCTCGGATCGCAGGGAAGGAAGAGAAATCTTGGAGTTTCTGTGTAACTATGACTGTTTCTAGAGCTTTGTAACAATAAAATGTTGCTGTACGACAATGTATGTTGTATACGACAAATCTCTTGCTCTTCTGTTCGGACAATTCGCACTTCTCACTTCTCCCTGTTGACGCCTGACTCCAGCCAGCAATTCGTGCTGAAAGAGGTAAGATAGTGCCCCACCCTAACCTTGAGCTCCGAAATCGCTATCGGTGGTTGAGCCACGGATCTTCAGCCATAACCGCATGTGGATTCAGCCACAGTCTTTCTCCGTCTTGGCGTGCCCTAACAGCCCCACAAGTGCACCAGCCAGAAAAAGTCACCTCCCCAGTGCAGCCCGCGACTTCTCCGAAACCTCCCCGTCCCGAAACTCCAGCTCAGGACAACAGCCAGCAAAAGCCAGCCGTCAAGATGGGTCGCGTTCGTACCAAGACCGTCAAGAAGTCCGCCAAGGTTATCATTGAGCGGTACTATCCCAAGCTGACGCTCGACTTCGAGACCAACAAGCGGGTGTGCGATGAGATCGCCATCATCGCGTCGAAGCGCCTGCGCAACAAGGTTCGTTTCTACTTTCCGAAACACTGAGAAAATCTGTTGTTGAATGCCGGAATTGATGTCGTGCGTGTTTGCAGATTGCCGGTTACACCACCCACCTGATGAAGCGCATTCAGCGTGGCCCCGTTCGCGGTATCTCCTTCAAGCTGCAGGAGGAGGAGCGCGAGCGCAAGGATCAATACGTCCCCGAGGTGTCGGCCCTCGACTTCTCCGAGGCTGGCCAGCTCGACGTCGATACCGAGACCAAGGACCTGCTCAAGCACCTTGGCGTATGTTTTCTCCACTAAGATACGGATGGAAAGTGGCTTGGCTAACCGGCGGTGGAACAGTTCGACTCCATCCCCGTTAATGTCGTCCCGGTTACCCAGAACCCCGTCGTCGAGCGCGGTGGCCGGCGGTTCGGCGACCGTCCTCGCCGCGACTAAACGAACTTTTTACGACATGTTGACTGGGTTATTGGGGGACACACAAACATATACCATCTCACGACACAACAAAAGGACATGGCGGCGGGTTATGGCACATCTTGGGCATGGCTTTACGGCGTCTATCTGGGAAGTGGTGAGAGCGGCGCGTTAGATCCTCGACAAGCTAAGAGAGATCCGTTGCCCACACAAGGTGTCGCTGATTCCCTAGGGTAATTCCGGGGATGACGCTTGATCGCCAATTCTTCGTCCTTGGGACAATGGTGCGTGGTGAGACTGGATGTGTTGTTGCCAGCCGAGTTGCTCCCGTTTATGATACGTCGGCCACGCTCTGGCCGCTTGCAAGGTAAGATGCGGTGGTGAATTCATGTGCGCGGGCACTTCCGTCTCGATATCGTCCATGCAATGTCCCCTAAATACCCCAGAGGTTCTTTTCTTGACCGTATCCTAAACTCCACAATAAACTCCACGAGTTCCCGTTCTGAACGGCCCAATGCCCATGGGTAGTTTGGGCCAAACGCCAGTCACGTAGAGCGCTCAAAGCCTGACGGTAAAAAACTCGTCGTCCTCGCCATCGCTCTCCGCACCCTCTTCCGGCTGCTTGCCGCCACGAGCTTTGTTGGCCTTCGGCCGGTAACCCTCTACCATGTATTCGGCGCCTTTGGCTAGATTGGAGGGAGGCTCAACCGGCCCGTCAACGGCGCTCTCCTTGATGGTTACATCCACCCTACTTAAGCCAGCTACAGACCCGCCAGGATCGCCTCTCTCGCCAGCGAGGGCCGACGCGTCCTTCCTGGCCTGCGTGTGCTTGTCTATCTCGAGCTTCGCCATGGCCTGCGCAAGCTGGTCACGGTCTTCTTGTGATCCTCTTGGTACAGCAGCAGCAACAGCAGAAGTTCTGCTCTTCCTACTGCCATCGCCCTTCTCCTCTCTAAGCTCCAGCTTGACCACCAACCTCCCACCCGGCGCCCCGCTGCCGCCGCTGCTGATCCGCTCGTACGTTGGGTTGTCAAGCTGCACCTTGAGGTACAGCGCCCGCAGCGCGCAGGCGTCAGAGCACCATTTGTTGAGGTCGGTCGTCCGCGCGATGTTTCCCGACCGCGTCGAGATTTTGAAGCCGCCCTCGTGGGTGCGGCGCGGCCGCGGGCAGAGGGCGTAACCGCATTTCCCCAGGCAGTTGCGCTCCTCGATCAGGTCGAGGTACTCGCTAGGCTGGAAGTCGCGGAGCGAGGTCAGGACGAGGGAGGCGTCGGCGGGCGAAGGGTTGGATGCGTCGTGCGGCGGGCAGGGGGCGCGGGGCAGTTGGGAGAGCAGCTCGAAGGTTTCAAGGGGGATGGGCGGCTTGAGCTCAGTTTGGCGGAGCTTTTCGAGCAGGCGTAGACGGGCGGCGGCCTCTTGTTGCGCGAGGAGCTCGGCGCGGGTGAGGGAAGTTGAGGAAGATGCGCGTGGTGGTGGTGATGCTGGTTGTTTTGTGGTTGGTGGGGCGCTGAGTTGCTTCAGAATGCCCTTGGGCTTTGGCCTTGCTGACTGCGTTGTTTCTGCACTCATGATGGTAGAGTATGCCGCCATACAGCGCGGTATTAGCTCTGGTAATAATGGTCGCCGAAGGGTTTGGTGTTTTTAGGGAAGTCACGGTTCGATAGAGAGCTCACTTTGCTCGGCAGTGATCGATGACCTCGGTGCTCAAGGCTTGGATCCGAAGATCCTTGCTTCCCGTGACTGGCCAACGGGTGAATGCCAGCCCCACTTGATGAGACGCAGCTCAGCGATTCTCCCACTGAGTATCGGTACCTGCGTACCACGCAACCAAGCAGCAACCACTCTCGGACAGTGCAACCCAAGTGTCCAAGCCACCTCCTGAGTCCCGGGTGAGTTGCTGCCTAACAACGCATTTGTAGCACTGCACTCCAAACACACGAGGCTCTTAGCCGACTGGGGGTGGGCAAGAAGCAGAGCCGGGTGTTGAAGCGGTTCATGCGCTGCTCTGTTGCAGATCCCTGATCTTTTGGTGGTGGAGGTGGCCTGTTGACAAGTCTTGGCCGGCTTTTGCCCGCATCAAACCCCTCCGCAGCCCAGCGTCAAGCCACCGCAATCCAGAGCAGGCCAGGGACGCCCTTTTGGACCACAGCCGATCTCCATTAACTGCTTGAGATTTTGGGTCATCCCCATCTCTCCACCCAAACACGAGGTCAGGAGCTCTGTTTACATTAGCCAAGCTTGCGCCGTCTCAAGCAACCACCAACCATCTGAGTCTTGGGCAGCGACATTTGGCTTGGAAGCTTGAGCTCTCTAAAGCCCCGCCACACCTCCAGGCCCTGCCTTGACTCCCGTCAGCTTCGAGCGCAGCTGGCGATCGAGCCGCTTCATCATGTCGTTCAAGGTCAAGGCCCTGTATGACTACAATTCTGGCCACGAGGATGACCTCAATTTCAGCGTCGGCCAGATCATAACCGTTACCGACGAGGAAGACGCCGACTGGTACGGAGGAGAATACGTCGACGAGACTGGCAACAAGCACGAGGGCATCTTTCCCCGTAACTTTGTGGAGAAATATGAGCCTACCGCCCCGCCCCGGCCGACGAGGGCTCGCCCCAAGAAGGAGCTCGAGTCTGCTCCGGCTCCAGTCCCCGAGGTTGCTGCCCCTGCCGTCACGCCAGCCGAGCAGCCGGCTCAGGCTGCACCCGAAGTCGAGGAGGCTCCTGAGCCCGAGACTGCTGCACCTCCTCCCGAGGCCTTTTCTGCGCCTCAGGCCTCTTCTGCACCTCCACCTGTTCCGGCGCCTGTTGCAGAATCCCCGGCACCCAGGCCGGCGCAGTCGGTCCACGCTCCGGCACCTCCTGCCCCCGCCCCCGCTCCCGCCCCAAAACCCGCCGAGGTTGAGTCTGCGCGCTCACAGCCTGCCCCAAAGGCTGCGCCAAAGCCGCCCAAGCCCAGTCCGCCCCCAGTCTCCGAGAAACCCGTGAGCAGCTCGTTCAAGGATCGCATTGCAGCATTCAACAAAGCCGCTGCCCCGCCGGTTGCCCCCTTCAAGCCGAGCGGCCTGAGTTCCGGCGGCGCCGGCTTCGTTAAGAAGCCCTTCGTCGCGCCTCCTCCCAGCAGGAATGCGTACATCCCCCCGCCAACCCAAGGTCCCGTCGCAAAGATCTACCGTCGAGATGAAGACCCCGAAGTCAAAGAACAAGAGGCTGAGGCTACTGAAGTCGCTGGAAAGGCTGGGCTCGTCCCGACCGCTTCCACGATTGAAGGCGAAGCCACCGAGGATCAGCCCAAGCCCATGAGTTTGAAGGAGCGTCTGGCTCTGCTGCAGAAACAGCAGATGGAGACGGCAGCTCGGCATGCTGAAGCAGCCGCTAAGAAAGAAAAGCCCAAGCGCCCGCCCAAGAAGCGCCTCGATAGCCAGGACACCGTCGAAGGCGAGGCAGCGGAGCGAACCGATGAGGCAAGCCGGACATCCACGGACGAGGCTCACCCGCCCCGTTTGGCTCACCCTCCCAGACGCAAGTCCTCCAAGGGAGCTGAACCCCGCGATGGAAATGAGGCGGACATGTCCGGCGCCGGTGAGACTACCGAGGGTCAGGAGGATTTGACGGAAAAGGACGACAGCGATGGCAGAATCAAAGATGTTGCCATGGTACCTAAACAGGAGAACAGCGACCAAGAAGAAGAGGAGGACGAGGAGGAGGAGGATGACATCGACCCTGAAATTCGGCGGAAGGAAGAGCTACGCGCCAGAATGGCCAAAATGTCGGGCGGCATGGGGATGCCCGGCATGGCCATGCCCCTATTTGGCGCACCGGCTCCGATGCTCCCGAAGAAGAAGAAGGCCGGTCCGGAGAAGCGAGGTGAAGAGGCTGAAGAGCCCGTCTCGCCAACTGCGCGAGCCCCGCCTGTACCACTTCCGGGGCTGATGCGGCCGCCCCCGCCACCAGAGCCAGAACAAGCTGAGCCGGAAGAAGAGGGAGAGGAGGACGACTCCCGGCTGAAAACTCCGCATCAGGAGTATGGCCTCTCTGGTGAGTTGATCAAGCAACCTTCGTGTCCACTCCGCTAACCATTAGCAGTCCCGTCTACGGAAGAAGCCGCTCCTCCTATTCCTGGTGGAAGACCTGCTCCACCCCCCGTTCCTACGGACTGTGAGTATTATCGCCGCACGGTTCGCACATGGCATGTCATGCTAACGTCGTTAAGCACGCCCGCCGCCGCCGCCTCCAGCTGCCTCTGCGGTCAAGTCACTTAGCGAAGGATCGGTATCCGATGACGAGCTCTCGGAGTGGCCCAACGAGTCTGATGCTCCTGCCCAGTCAACCAGGGCACCTCCCCCGCCCCCGCCCGCAGTCGCAGGTCCGCCACCAATTCCTGCCCGTGCATCTGAAGACAATCGAGCATCCGTTGGGGAGGAGACGTCCCCAACCTCTCCACGAGAGCCGGCGCCGAGCAAGCGCGACAGCAGGCCACCGCCTCCGATCCCGAGCTTTCCTCCGGCGTCTCCACCAGCACAGTCCAGACCGCCGCCTCCTCCTCCGGCTGCGCCGCTACTACGTCGGGTTTCCACGGACGAGTCCCGGGCACCGCCGCCGGTGCCTGTCATGCGTAGAAATAGCGATAAAGGCGAGGAAGAGGAAGTCACCGAGTATGAGGGCGATTACGACACGGACATTGCCTCCTCGGTTCCTCACAAGGAAGCTCTCAAAGCCCACCAGCGTGATTCGAGCATTGACGAGGTCATGTCGCCGCGCTCGCCGACAACCGAGGCACCACCACCGCCTCCTCCTGTCCCAATGGCGGCACCTCCAAGAGCAGGCCCGCCCCCGATTCCCAGCCAACCTCCGCCGGAGAGCCGAAACTCTGTGGATATGCCCCGCGCAGCCCCGCCTCCGCCTCCCAAGGAGACAGACCAATTTGACGACGAGTATGACCCTTACAACTACGCCTCGACTCCACAGGGGGCACCCGCTTTGCCGTCGTACCCCATGTCGGCACCTCCTCCGCCCTTGAGACAAGAGGAGCCGCCCTTTCAGGAAACGTCATACGGCCAAACTCCGAGGTCGCCTCCCCCTCCTCCCCCACCCGGCCGCGCACCAGCACGACAATCGGTTGACGTCCCACGTCCCAGCATTGGCCGACGGTCCATAGATGTCACTCGCCCGTCGATGGAGACAGGCTTCGTTGCTAATGACATCGACCTCGCAAGCCAGTCAGGCTGGTGGCTGCAACCTAACGGTCTCCCTCCACAGCTCCACGGACGCAAAGATATTTTCTTTGAGTCGGAGGAGTCGAGCTCGGCCGACCCGCATCAAGGCGGCAAGACCATCGTTACCCGCGACATCTGCGTCCTCTTCCAAGACTATTCGCAAACCGTCATCACGGTCCGCTTCAACCCACGCGACCCCGCCGACGTCCAGCTCGAGCAGCAGCACAAGCCGCCCCCGCGGGCCCTGCGCCAGGACCAGCTCGAAGAGAGCTACGAACGCTTCGGCCGCGCCATAGGCGAGGCCGCCGCCTCCAAGAAGGACACGGTCGTCGGTGACGGCACGCCGCAAGCCCTCATCTACGAGCTCCTCCGCCCCTTCAAGGACGCGCTCCTTCCCGTCGGAACCCGCGCGTACGGCGCGCTCGTGTATAGCAACCTGGCCAACGCGAGCACGATGCAGAACGACGAGATTCGCCCCGGCGACATCGTCAGTATCCGCAACGCCAAGTTCCAGGGTAAGCACGGGGCCATGCATGCCAAGTACTCGATGGAGGTAGGGAAACCTGACCATGTAGGGGTTGTGGCCGAGTGGGATGGTACCAAGAAAAAGGTGCGCGCCTGGGAGCAGGGCAGGGAGAGTAAGAAGGTTAAACAAGAGTCGTTTAAGCTGGACGATCTTCGGTCGGGCGAGGTCAAGATCTGGCGCGTCATGCCGCGCAGTTGGATTGGGTGGGACTCGGTCGGCGGCGCTGGTACTGGGAGCGGAGGGAACTAGGAGGCCCTTTTGGGCTTGCAGATGAGAGATTTGAGGGGGTTAGGGGTCCCGGGTGAGTTGATTGGGGTGTTGGTTAGGGTGGCGATGTGGGGTTGGTAGTATGAGGTGAAGAATAGCTGGGTTGGTTGGGGTTTTGGAAGGGGGAAAGGGGGGGGGATGTGTCGAGCTGACGAGTCTGTCATCATTGTCAGAGCAGGGCAAAGCAAAGCTGAGCTGAGATAGCATTCGGAGTTTAGTCTTTCTTCTTTGACCAGACGTACACTATCCACAACTTTACAGCAATGCTTGTTTATTTACTCAATCCTGTCGCATCACGTTACTCCATTCATCATGCTGCTCGCTGTCATGAGAAATCTTGACGGATTTTCTCTTATTTTGATAGTGTATTGCTTGGCGAGCAGGTAATCGTTCCTGTTTGTGACCGGGGTTGTTAGCTGGGTCGTTCTTGGATACGTGAGCTCATCTGAGGGTATTCTACTTTTATAGCAGTGGTGATGATCATCCATAACGATTCTTGAAGTGATTAGGGTAGGCTGAACTCTAATCAGGACCGTGTCGTAGTTGTGAGAGATTGTTTGGCCATACCAAGCTCCTGACACCGTGATATCGGGGGTTCACTCTTGCAGCCTTCTCATTTTGAGAACAACCCTTTCCGTTCCTTAGTTAATATGATATGAGCAAGGTGTTAAGGCTCATGGCTAGTTGTGGGATTGCCTCCTTGTTTGGATGGATTGGTGTTGAGAGGACGAATCTTGATGTGGCTGCATACACACGTTCCTTTCCGGCGTTGATCAATCAGAACCATCACTCCCGTTGAGTGGCGGTAGTTGACTGGATTTGTCTTGTCAACAACCCAGGCATCGCTTCTAGTTCGCGAGCCCATCGAAAGTGCGTGGGTCACGCGAACAGCCTCATTCATGACCTCAACCGAGTCTAGAGCGGCCCGCATAGCGTAAGTTTGGGCAGACAGACAGACACCACTGCACGGATGCCGATCATGCATAGATGCAGAGTCCAACGTCCGTTTAAGGACAGAGCCTCTATATGCATAGTATATTATTATTACATTCAGGTGAAAGAATGCCAAATGGGTCGACACAGAGAGAGCTAGAGGGGACATGAAAACGTCCCGCCCGCGCCCAGCACATCCCCTTCCCATCCCCTTGCCAGCCAGAGAAGAATCCTAGAATCGCAGCTCCGACGTCGTTCATGAATAGGTACAGCCAAGACATGCCTTTCATAAAGCTCACCTGCACACGTGGACCAGAGTCAGCACAGGAGAGGTCAGAATGGCCAGGCAGTGCGGGAGTTCCGTTGTCTGGAGATGCGTCGCGGGTGCTGCAACTTAAGACTCGCCGAGGACTGTGGCTGTGCCGGCAGATTACGCACTGCGTCTGTCAGTGGTATCGGCACTCCACAAGATACTACATTTAGTGATCCGTCCTCTTTCGGCATCTTATATGTCTTGTCTTCCCATGGTCGGGGCCCCGCGTGGTGGATAGGCCCTCAAGTGTGGGAGCAGCGAGCCCAAGGGTGTCCATGTGGGATTCTGTGACGTAGTGATTGCATGAGCTCGTTGCGTGTGAATCTGAGCGTGGGATATAGAACCCCCCTTCGGTTTTCGATGATAGTTCCTCTGGAGCGTGCTCGTTGATAAGGTGTGTCACATTCCATGACCAATTTGTGAGATGAGGGTGAGAAATACAGGATACATCAAGGATAGAAAGAATTGAGCTCGTAGGGTTCCTGAGATCGAAAGGCAGGGTAGCTTATTGACTTACGGAGATTTCCTTGTCCTGGTCAGAAGTCTCGACTGTCGTGCGACATATTCATCCTATGTATGCCTTGGGACACACGATCCGCGGGAAAGAGAGATGTTGGTTTGGTTGCTGGGTGAACAATCAGCCAACGCACAGGTTGTTGAGCAGCTAAGTTTGTTCAATCGCATCCAATCTTCCCATCATTGCCAACCTCGACAATCTTCTCTCCCCCAGGAGATAGCCGTGGGATAGCCCAGAGTCTTGATGGTCAGTTTCAGTCTGCCAAGACCACCAAAGCCAGCCAGGCCTCAAACCATGCAGTGTCCTCCACCTCCTCCGCGCCCCAGGCATCAGGATAGGCCCGTCTCGCAAATGGTCCGCAGACTATGGAGCGGCTATCTCAAACCCTCACTGCGGTGAGCCGCTATCTTCCAACCTTGAGAACAACTCATTGGTGTTTGAGATCGCATCCAAGACAGGAGATAGGGGTCTACTCTGCTCCAGGAATGGATCTCTGCAGAGTCACGCAACATGGGCCCAATATTCTCCAGCATAGCCATCAAGTGAAACGCCAGGACCCAATGAAATAAGTCGCGCATGCATCCAGCAGATCAAGCATGTCGCTTGACATGAGAAGCGCGGGAGTTGCCCTCAACGATCGGCCGGGTAAGGAGACCACAGCAGGCAGTCCTCTGGCAGTCGAACGGGACCATGGCCGAAGTTAGGCATGTATGGCCTCGATCATACATTTTCACATTCCTCCCGGATTGAAATAAGAACAGCAGGAAGAGATATGACGGAATGGAACATGTTTCCAGGCTACAAATCGAATGCTGCCAGGTGGCCAAGGCTTCAGTAACTCGAGCAACGGCCCTTTGGGAGGGTGGATATAGTAATCCGTGAGAGCAAGAAGGGAAGTCGATAGTGTAGTTAGAGCACTCTCTTCGCACGCTTCACGAGCCAACATCTCTTTGCGCAGGCTTGGATAGAGAAGAAGGCGTGAATCTCGACGTCTAAGCGAACGGACCCGTCGAGCAAGAATTTTGAGCCGCAATCGATCAAAGCGCTTCTGTGCCGATGTCTCTCGCGGCGTTGATGGTATGCGTGGGCTGAGAGCCTGGCAAGCCTGGAAGGCATCGGCTTCCTGCTTCTGGCCGCACCAGCGGTCTCCTAACGGCGGATGGCATTTGATGAGGTCTCGCTCCGGTTAACGGCCGATCACGTGAAAGCATACATAGATCGGCCTGAACGGGAAGGTCGCCGTCTGAGACTCTTGGGAGGAAAGCCTGATAGAAAGTTTCGAAGCCTGGTTGCTGAATCAGATGGCTGCTTGGTCGCCCGACGCTCGATATTCAGTAGGGCGTCTGCGCTTTGCAAGCGAATGGCAAAGGGTAACCCCGTCGGCTTCAAGACCCAGGGACAGGGCGATGTTTACCAGCGAATGAACGGCTGACACAAATCAGGATTGCATGGTCGTGCAGCAATAGCTGCAGTAGCGAACAGGCCATCTCCTCCATCTGGAAAAATCGATCAAATGCGCCAAAGTCTTCTGGGCAATTTGGGCTTCGGCCACCAATAGACTCTAGATCGAAATCTTGAAGATGGCTTGGCTAGCTCGACACGAAGTTGGGCTCAGAGACTGTGGCCGGTTGGGTTGGGGAAAGGAGGCTTCACTGGCGCCGCCTTGGGAACTGTCGACCCAGCTTAACAATGGGCGTGGTGTACGAGGAACTCTCTCATCCAACACTCGGTATGCTGCGTCTGGTGAAGCTGGCTTTGATCGAGAGCAACGAGATGCGGCAGGTTTTAAGCGCCCCCCTGCTTCCCCAGCTTGGCATGTGCAGTCGGGTGGTGGACCCCACGGATCTGTGGCGTTGTGAGGACGACAGCGACGATGTCAATTGGATGCAAGCTGCAGTCTGACCAGCGTTCCCCATGATTTGTTCGCAGGCCAATGGTGTTACGCGGCGTATGCAGCCTCAAGTAGAGGTTCCTGGGGTGTGGCACGGCAAACTTCTTTGGGTCGCCGGCTCGTTGGGCATACGGGCATTTGCCGCAGAGCGTGTTGATACGTCAGGAACGGAGTACGGATGACGGTTCCATATGATGCAGTTGCTGGGCCTCGCTGCGGACGTCAGGAATTTCTATGGCCTGAGATAGCACTTAGGGGCCTTGGGTAGCGCCCGCGAGGTTCCTCGGCGACTTTACTCGTACGAGTCAACAACTGATACGGGCCAGCAATACCGCGGCGGTGACGATGTCGGTCCCACGGTATTGATAGTCGAGGATAATGAGAATCACTGAAGATTCATGTCTGCACTTTCGCAGCAGTCAAGCCGCTAGCACAGCTCGGTTCATCTGTGATCTGTGTTGAGGAAGAAAAGGGGTCCAAGGTGAGAATCTGGCCTGGTGACATGCCATCATTCTAGGTTGTTGTCATGGTGGACTTTAGATTCAGACGACCTATGGATGATATCAGCTGTCCAGATTGGATGAGAGGAAGCATCTCGCACATTCTTCCAGGGTTCAAGTTCGATTCATGGAGGACAGATGCAAGAGTGGGATGACGGACGGATTTGGGTTGCCTGGTGGGCTCACTTACCAGCCGCAGTTGCTGTGGCAAGGGCAGGGCGGTGTTCCTGCCACGTTGCCCCGGACATGGATGTATCTTTTTGGCTGGGCCCCCACGGGACCATCACTGCTGGCCCCGCGACTGCCCAATCGGTCGAGGTTGTGAGAGTGTGACCAATCATAGCGACGTTGCTCTGGCCTGATTTTTCGGCCAATGGCTAAGGTCCGGGCAGGATCGGAACCACTGCGAACTCGTGACAGGGTGTCGCTGCCCACTCAAAACTGTGCTGGGACTGTTGACTTGAACGTGAATGGCTGCTTTGAACGAGCGTCACATGAGTGTGCAACTGTGCGTCGTGGGAGCGGTTGAGTGTTGTACCGCCACTCATGGAAATCGCGCGTGGGCGAATGATGCAGGAATGATAAAACCGTCTCTCCCATTGCTTGTCGTTACACTTTCTGGATGGATTGCAACTGTGACCCTTAACCTCCTCGCCTGGGCAACCTGCCAGTGCATCCCACCTGTTCAACCGCCCGGACGACGCTTACTTGTCACAACGCCAGACGCCAGCAACGGCCCGCGTTTTAGTGCCCGACTCCAACTCGACAGCTGCAACCTCGACAACGCACACGCATTGCACTGCAGCCCCAGCACGACTCACAGTCCTCTGCACACCATGCCGGGCCTCCGATCGGTCACCAATCGCTGAACAGTTCTCAAGCTCTCACACCAACTCACCACTCGGGATCCCTTGCTCAACGCACCCGACACACTCTATAAACGCTATCTACACCCGTCTTCTCCATTCTTTGGCTGGGAATCTCCTTCCTCCCCACCAGAGGCCCCAGTACCACGCATCGACGCTGCCCCCAAGCAGAAGACCAAAATGGCTCCCCCACATCCCCGAAGGCAATCCTCAAGTCAATCCGCCTCCAGTCATGACTCACGGAGTCGGAGGAGTAACGACTCATACGCATCACATTCGACGGCACCCACCTCATTCTATTCCACGCCATGTCCCTCAGACCTGAGGGCCTCACCAGCGTCAGCACCCAGCGGAGGCTATACCCGGGCCAAGCGTCACCAACCATACAACGCTCGTAACGATGTCAGCCCCACCACCTCGCTCTATCCGCGCTCGTCGGTCGAGTCCTACGCCTCAACGACTGCTTCGCATGAGGATCTTGACACCATGGACCTGGATGAGATTCCCGATGACGGCATCCCACCTCTGCCTGTCTACCGGCGCGACGTTGTGGAGCCGAACGTGCGCGCATCGACACCCCAAGACTTCGCCAAGCTCTTCCCCTCGCTCAACCGCTTGACAATACGCCACGACGAGTTCACCTCGGACGGAAACATGAACTTGCGCATCGACACTGTAATCACAGGCCGCAGAAGGACCGCCATCCAGCTCTTCCACCTGCGCATGTACGACTTGGCGAAGCGCGAGTTCTCACTGCGTCGGTATTCGCGCGACTCGGGTCGCGAGGTCTGCAACTCGAAGCGCAAGTTCACTAAAGTCGCAGCGCCAAGGCCCAAGACCGCAGATGAAAGGCCAACGTTGAAGCGGTCCATGTCGACAGCTTTCAGGACGCTGAGCGGTGGCAAGCCCACCTTGCGCCGCGCGAAATCAGGCGTGGCGGTCCCTGGCCGCCCAGACACGGGCTACTCGACGGGCGATGGCGATGATGAGTTGTACCTCGATCGATCCAACCTGTCTCGCCTCTCGCTCGACAATCGCCTGATCAAGGGCAAGGCGCAGCGGCCCTTGCCCACCAACACGACCAAGCTTGAGTTCAGCAACTACGCGCGCGTCGACGTCAGCCGCCGCGGTGGCAAGGGAAACAAGCGCTATGACTTTGAGTGGTGGGGACATCGCTACAGCTGGAAGCGCGCCATCGACAAGCAGCTGAGCTTGGTGTCATTCCATCTTGTGCGGGACGGGCATACAGGTGCGCCAGTCGCGCACATTGTTCCCGAAACGAGGTCGCCGAGCCAGGTTCTCGCCGACGAGAGTGCGGGCGGATGGGTTCCGCCGTGTTTCATGTGGATCGCAGATGAAACCGTTGTCAATGCTGTTACCGATGTTGCCGAGTAAGTAAAACACTCCTCTCAAGTTGCTTGAGACTGCAGATGCTAACAAATCCCCTCAGCGTTATCGTGGCTACCGGCCTCATAGCCCTTGTTGACGACTGCATCAAGGAGCGATGGCAGACCAAGAAGATTCACCGCATCCCGGTGCCATTGACCTCCAAGACAGTCAACCTTGAGGCCGTCAGCCCAAAGGCCATCATGCAGCATGTCTTTGGCCGGCGGTACTCAAACGACCATCAGCGCCCATCCACTCCGTTAAGCCCCCTGCGACTCGCAAGTCCTATCGCGGCTCATTAGCGGGCCGCGACTGATCCAGACGCTCCGATTTCGGGCAATCGCCGTCTGGCTGACTTCGGGCCCCCCAGAACCGGTCCCTGTATCTCAGCGCCACGTGTTGCTGCCCGACCGAGGACACCCCCACACCTTCGGACATTGGCAGCATACGATGTCATCTCGCCTTGTGACGGCCGAGAGGCTCTCATCCCTTTTCTTTGTCTTCCGTGCTCCCGATTGGCGCGTCGTCCCTTTATTCTTTTCATGTTTATCTGTTCTCATGACACCTGGGCGTCAGTCGCAGATCGCTCGATGTGATTGTCTTACTAAAAGTTGCTTATTGTTCCGATTTTTCTCTTTTCCTCATGATGATTCATTTTTTCTGACAGCATATGGGCACGGCGTTATGAGTTGCAAGTTTCCCTTGGACAAAAGATTGTGCATGGTCAAACTGGAAGGTGGTGGCTTGGGCTGAGAAGAGCATTGGTCGTTTTGCATGGAACGGTGCGAAGAGGAGTTGGGTGTGCTTGTTCGTTGTAAGGCTTCGGGGTTTCCATATATCTGAAAGGGTATAGTCAAGTTGGACGAAGGTATTCATATCTATGAAAACGTTATATGGATTTTGGCAGGGCTGGGTTGTCGCGGAGCGCTGGGACTGATGAGGAATGATGTCTGATGAGAGACGAACAACAATAATGGCGGAATGCAAGGCATGCCGGATGCTGTATGCTAAGCATAGCTTCGTGGTGCTGCAGTTGTTTGTACAAGTCAGCCTGCATCGTCCTTCTCCTGTAGAGGTCAGTCAACGGTTGACTTGGACGACATGCCATAGAATGGCATGGCAGACAGAACCTGATCTCTTTTGTCAGTCTACATCTACTTTCACTACTTTTGTTACAGCAATGGTCATCTGTATGCAGCGCCTGCATACCCCTTCCAGTTCTCCCAGTTGGATAGCCGAGATAAGTAGGTAAACAAGAGGAGGTGGCATTTCGCGGCTGTGGGTTCGCAGATACAATCAACCAAATGCTGCTGAGATCATACGATGCCCTATACTACACTCGCATATGTAGTACACTGGCACCAACCGTTACTGTCTTGTCATCCGTCTCTTCCTCGTAGGGATCTCCCATCATTACCGGCCGTGTCCCCGTTCACCGATTTGCAGGAACGCCAAGAGACAACAACTGTCGGCGATGTGATACCGATCGGTTTTATTGCTCAACAAAAGCCGGTTTATTGGACGGTAGGTCAGTGGCAGGCAATATACCCTATATACAAAATATGGGGCCTTGTCAGCTGAAGGGGGCCAACACAGACAATGTGAACCAAGGCAACACACATGCTTGTACAAGTATGTACCTAAGGTACCCATGAACTTTCCGCTTCAACGACCAGAGACTCTGCCTTTTAAGGGCTCCTGACATTGTGGCCCAGGAAACTTTGAACTCATTTGAATCGGCTTTTTATTCGGTAGTCTCTCTCAGAAGGAACACAACGTGCTCAGTCACAAGTTACAAGACGCATGAAAGAGGATTGAATAAGAAGAGACCTGCGCAATTGGAATAAGTCTACCACTGTCTAACGTAAGGCATATACGCGCCGAAACACCACTAACCACATGATTAGAAATGTGTCATAAACCGAGCAAAATCCCTCCGTAGGCTAAAGAGAGAAAGAAAAGGAAAAAAGGAAAAAAGGAAAAACCAATGCCACCAGCTCAGACGTTCCTAAATCCCATGAAAATACTCTTCTCATGCCGCATCGACCCCGTTCACCTGCTGAGTACCATTCACACCATCGACCTTGTTCGTCAAAGCCGCAGCCGACGTGGTGCCGTCATCCTGATACTTCTCCCAGTTCGCCAGGACCTGGCCAATCTTGGGGGAGTTGGTGAGCCGGTACACCTCCTCAAAGTATTCCTTAGTCAGTGCAAACGGCTTGGCCGTCACGTTGGGAATGTATTTGCCGACCAGCTTGGCGGGGTCGATTGTCGTCTTGTTGATCTTTTTAAGCAGGAAGCTGCGGAAGGGCTTGACGCCGGAGCGCAGGAAGGTGGAATGGAAAGGTACGTCGATGCCCTTCAGGGGAACGGTCGCGAAACCACGCTGCAGCTCCAGGGGCGTCGGCTTGAGCTTCGTCTCCGCGGCACACGACTGGATCATCTCAACGAGCTTTTCCTTGACCACCTCCGTTTCGTACTCCCTGCGCATCTGCTCAATGTCGAGACTCATGGCCTTCAGATAGTTGGTGACACCAGTCAAGGTGTCGAGGGCTCGGAGATCACCGGCGCAGACGTATTGCATGTTGGCAATGTTGTAATTGACAATCTCGAGAAGCCAGCCTGTCGTCTCGGCAATGTTGCTGACAACGAACCGCAGCGCCTCTTCGTTGAAGGTCTTGCTGATACGGCTGGGGTTGACGGCACACATGCCGTAATTGGACCGTCCCGCTGCGTCCCGGTCCACGGCAACCTGCATTGTCAGACCGCGATAAAAGACAACCGAGACGAGCGACTCGATAGGCATGACATCGGCGAGGGCAGCCAGAGCCGAGTACTCGCCGAGGGAGTGGCCGGCAAAAGTGCTGTCACGCGGGACGAGTCCCTTAGCCTTCATGTCCTCGAAGCTGGCCTTCTCCATCAACGTCAGAGCCGGCTGAGTGAACTGGGTGGCCGAGAGGAGACCGTTGGGAGACCGGTACGTGTAGGACGTCGTATTCTCGTCGATCTCCTTGAACATGCGCTGGGAAGCTATGGAGCCATTGGCAGAGACAGTCTCGTAGGTCATGGCCATGTAGTTTTGCCGGATCGCTTTGCCACGAGGGCCGCCGAAGTGGATGGTAAGTTCCTTGGGGTTGTTCTTGACGATGTTCGTGATAGCAAAGCCTGACACTGGTCAGTAAAAGACGGTATATTAAAGACGTGAGGTGACGTACCATAGGTATCCATCAGGTACTTGTCCGCTCGGTCCCAAACCTCCCTGGCAACCGGACTGCTGGCATAGAGGTCCATGCCCATGCCCTGTTCCTGGGAACCCTGGCCGGTGAAGACATAGGCAGTGACGGGTTGCTCAATCTCAGCCTCGCCGAGGAGCACCTTCTCCTCTGTCTCCTTGTTGATGGCCTCCACCTTGATGATCTTGCGACCGGCAACCATGCCAACGTGCTGCAACTTGACGTTCAACTCATCATTGGGAAGAACCATGCCAGTGAGAGACGCGTGGAAGCTGCGGACGCGCCCGATCTTGTTCTCGGCAGCCCATGTCTCGACAAGGCTGCGCACTGCGGCGCTCGAGTACATACCGTGCGTGATGGTGCCGGGGAGGTTGGCATAGGCTGCGAAGACACGTGAGACGTGGATGGGATTGTAGTCGCCAGAGACCCGGGCGTAAGTCTCGTTGGAAGCCGGGGCACGAAGCTGAAGAAGGTTCTTGCCGCTGAGCGGGATGGGGTTCTCGAAGTTGACTGGCTGCTCGATCGACGACCCATGACGCTGGAGGTAGTCGATAACCGGGTTCCCGTGCGACTCGCCGGCCTCGTAATCAACAGTGGCAACCTGGATGATCTCCTTTGTGGGGAGCTCAATAAGAACCTGACCCCGTGTCTCGACGTGGCTGAACACAGTCCTGTTTTTGAAGCGAACCAGGCTGTGGAGACGGAAGATTAAAGTTTTTCCCAGCAGCACCGCCTCTGGCTTCGCAGGATCGTCGAGGACGAACCATTGCTTGGACGTGAGGACGGCGACATCCTTGGAGGTCGCAAGATGGACCTGCATAGGCGTCTCAACCTTGCGTTGGAACGTGTTCTCAAAGTCGGTATAGGCGCCCCGGTAAAGGAACTGAGATGTGACTTCCATGACGGCCTTGCCGTCCCGCGTGATGGTTCCGCAAACCTCGACCATCTTCCCAGACTCCTGGTTGATCACGGCATTGATCTGGGCCGTGGTGGTGACCTCGTCACCCTTCTTCAGGGGCTCGGCGCCAGGCATCATACGGAACTGGTTAGAGAGGTGAACCAGCTTGAGGAGGTCGCCATCAATGGTGCGGGGGAAGATTGGCTTGGTGATGGCCTTCCAGCCTACAACGATGGCAAAGTCCATGGGTGCATACATGATCTTCTCCGGACGGTCGACGAAGGCTTCGCCAGTGTTGCCCACAGCATGGACGAACTCGTTGATGGCCTTGCTGGTGATGGTTGTCTTGCCGCCGTCGAACTTGCTCGACACAGGGGTGTCGAGATCAAGCGGGTCATCACCGAACCACGCACGCCAGTAGAACTCCTTGATGCGATCATTGCGGCCGTCCATGACTTCGTGAATCGGCGCGTAGCCGGCCTCGGGGCGGTAGATGAAACGGAGGGGCAGAGCGACGGCCTTTCCGAGAGCAGTGGTGTCCTTGATCATGCTGACAACGATCTCGTTCTTGCCGTCGAGCTTGACCTCAATCACGTCGACATAGCGGTTCTGCCGGGGCTGTTCTTTGACGACAATAACCGTGCTAGCGTGGTCGTCAGGGTTGAGGACTTCGACAAGGAGACCCCGAGTTGGCGCGAAGATCCGCCTCATGGGGTTGGTCTGGTACTTTTGGCCTTGAACGATAACCTCGGATTGCAAGAGGGCATATCGCCAGTTCCGGCTTGGCCCGGCGATGAGCGAGATCCACGACTCAAGCGACGGGAGCTGGGTCGAGGGAGAAGAAGACAGACGGTAGGTGTTCTTGCCCGCATCCGTCCGGATGGTGAGACCGTCGATGTCCGTGGGGATCTCCGCCTCAATGAGCTTGCCTCCAAAGTATTCAACGGTTGGGATCTTGGAGGCGTCACCGTTGTACAGGTCTCGAATCAGACCCTCGATGTGACCATTGTGAATACCGTCCAGAATGTCCTTGATGGGCTCGTCGACTTTGGTTGAGTGCTTTGCAGCCATAGGTCCTTGGAGAATGCAAGTTCTGCCGACGTCCTTGCCGATAACGGCGCCGAGATCCTCAGATTGCCACAGAGAATCCTTCTTGAAAAAGTACTCAAAGTTTTCGTCGAGAGCAGGGACGAAAGTGACTGGTTTCTGGCCACGCCGCTGGCAGAGCAGCAAGAAATGTTGAACATCCTGGGCATTGATGAGCTGTGTCTCGGCCTCAGGGTAGTGGGACAGAATGCGTTCGACGGCGGGGTACGGATCGTCGAGATCTCTGTAATTCTGAAGGTGGGACGGCTGATCGGAAGTGGTCGTGAACCGCTCCTCCACACGGTGGATGAAGTCGGCCGTGAGGTTGATGAAAGAAGGGTCAATCCAGCGCTTCTCGTCCTGGACATACAGAAGCTCGACCAAGCGCCGGACAACCTCTCCGTAGGTCATGTCTTCCAGATCAACGGCCTTGCCCTCCTTGTTCCGGCCAAACCAAACCTTCTGGAAGTCGTCGTTGAGCTTCTTGATGATGTAATCACGCATCTTCTTCAGCTCTGGAACGCGCTTCTCCCTGGGCAGGCTGAAAATCTTCTGGTCCATTTCGGCCCAGAAGAGGACACCGCGCGTGGCAAGCTTGTGAATCGGCTCACCCATCTCAGACCTCACAGTGATGACACCGCCGGCGGGTCCCTTGTACGTCTTCTCCCACTCGGCATCGTCCAGCCCTGGGGCGTCGACAATGGCCTGCTTGGCAGCACTGCTGGTATGCGCCTCCTTGGCAACCATCATGCGACTGCCAAACATGCAGCCATCGTAAGGCATCGGAGGGTAGCCGTACTTCGTTGACCACGCGCCGGTGAGGTAAGGGTAAGTGTCGTCGGCGCCGCCGAAGCCGCTGCCTGCGACAAGAATGATGTTCTCTTGCCGACGGATACGGCCGTACATGGCGAGTATGGGCGCGTGGAAGTCCTCGAACGAGTGATGGCCGCCGCCTCGGCCACCAGTCCATTGGAGGATGACCGGGAACCGGGGGTTGGCCTTGGCGATATTAATGACAGCCTGGATCGCTTCGCTCGACCCTGGCTTGAAGGAGATATGCTTCAGGCCTAAAGTCTCAATGTACTCTTGGGCGACCTCGATCGACGGGACACCAGCACCAATGGTCAGACCTTCGATCGGCACGCCTTCGGCCCTGAGCCTGCCAAGCAGCGGGATCTGCCAAGCCATGGCACGAGGGTTCACGTAAATAAGGTTAACCGTGATGCCCCGGCCAGGAGGGATCGCTTTCTCGATCTGGGAAATGGCGGCGATCATTTTGTGTGCCTCGTAGTATCCGCCGCCAGCAAGCTCGATTTGGTAGCCCGCGTTCATAGTCGCTGCCACGAAGTCCCAGGGCACCGTAGTAGGGGTCATGCCGGCCACTAGCAGTGGCGGCAGACCGAGGAGTCTGCTCATCTTGGTATCCACGTAGGTACGTCCGCTGGACGTTGTGACGAGTTTCGGACCATATTCCTTGACCCAGTCAACGGCGTACTTGACAGCATGCTCTTCGTCGCGATCAAAGAGTTCCGACTTGTAGCCGACCTCGTTCACCGTGCCATTCACCGTCCCCGCAAGAATGACGCGAACACCGGTGCCGTCCTTGTTCTTGCTCGTCAGCACTCCGAGACCTGAGACGCCACCCGGCCCGAAGTCCAAGATATGCGTTGCTCCCGGGAACACAGTGGCCTGCTCCCAATGAACCGGATCACTAGTGATCATGCGAACCAAGGCAGGCACAACGTTTCCAGTCATCTCTTCCCGAACGTCCTTGCCACTGTTAGTGTTGAAGACGGGGATGCCCAGCTGCTTGACATTGATGTGGATATCCTTGAGATCCTCAGCAATCAAGGAGGTGGCCTCGGCGAGGTACTTGCTGTGAAAAGGCGCCGTGATTGGCAGAAAGCGGTTGACGAACCGGATCTTTCTCTCAGTGTGAGGGATCTTGGTCTGGTCAATGCCAGTGGCGGCCTTGACCTTCCTGAGCTGCGCGTTGAGGCCGCAGAGTGATCTCGGAGGACCCGCGACGACCAGATTTCGCGGACTATTGATGAGGGAGATTGAGATGTGCTGGTCTTCGGGGAGGTACTTGTTCGTCTGGTTGATATGCTTCTGAACTTCGTCTTGGGGAAGGTCACGAATGCTCAGCATCGGCGTCGGAGTGCCCTCTCCATTGTCGATTGAGTCCTGAAGCATCGACGGGCTCAGGGAGGTAATAGGGAATGTCTGTTGGCTGCGCGCGCCAATCCAGAAGAGGATAGTCAAGGCCGATTTGGCGATCTTCTCGAACGACTCCCAGCTTTCCGCAGCTGCTGTGACAGCGGCAAGGACAATGCCTTGTGAATGGCCTGTTGTCCCGCTGATTCTGTCACGGAGGACGCCGGGATCGAGACCAAGCACCTTGCATGTGATCTGATAGTGTGCCAGTTGCACGAGGCCAATCAGCGGGAAACTGACGGGGGCCGAGATCAGATAGTCGATGTCCGGCGTGGCATCCGGGTTCTGCAGCCAGGCTATGATATCCAGACCCTTGGAGTAGAGCTTCTCGGCGCTCGGATGGCTGGACAGATTCTGGAGGAGGTCTGCCGAGGAGACAATGAGTTCCCCAACAAAGGACGGGTATGTCTGGTACAGCTCGCGGAGCTCCTCGAAGTACTCCTCGATGTTCCCCTGGCCGCCGAAAATGGTGTAGAGCTTGGCAGCCCCTTCATCAGCCGCCCGGAGCAATGCCGACTCATGCTTCTTGATGACTCTGTCCAGCGCAGCTCGCGCAGCATAGTAGCTGCGGATCACCTCCACCTTCTTGGCGTCAATCCCAGGGAGAGTGGCCACGAGGGCGTGGACATCATTGCCCCGGAGAAAGACTCTCTCAAAGTCGTTCAGGATGAGCTTGAGCACCTCCTCGCCTGATCCTTGTACATCGTCTTCGCCCTCGGCAACCTCGCGGGCAATGTAGCCCATGTACCTGGCGACCAGCTCCTCCACTGAAGACGGCTCATCGTCCTGAGCGAGCTCGTCCGTTGGGGCTGGCAAAGTTGCGACGAATCCCTCCTTCAATTGTGAGGCATGGAAATGAAGGCCGGTCGGTATCAAAAAGGAGGTCTCGAGAGAGCCGTGGGAGAGAGTGAGTGGACGAAGCGAGGCCGATGAGCGGGGAGTGACGGCGCCCGTGTGAAGGCCGGTGCCGTTGCCGTTGCCATTGTTTGGGTACATGGCGGTCGAGGATGGGTATCTAAAGGATTTGGCGGTTCTTTTTCTGTGTTAGCCTTCGGTGATCAACCGGTAGAGCGAGAGCTTACGCCAACCTACCAGGCAGCAACAGCCGGAGAGATGGGGAACGAACGGCTACCACAAGCCGCGGATAGCTGCCAAGGTGGCAATGAATGGTCTGGCCGGTGGAGAGGAGAAGGGAATGGCACTGGAGATTAAGATATGCCCTTGAGCTGTAGGACGATTATATGGATAAGGGAGAAGGGGGGAATGGGAACGAGCAGGGCGAAGGCGGGAAGGAAGGGACCGAGATAAGGTAACTGTGTTAGGTGGTGGCTCCTGCTTTGAAAACTCGATGATCGTTGAAATCGAGAGTTTTAAAGCCCTGGTGGGGAGAAACGGGGACACGGATAACGTGTGTGGCGTGGTTCAGGCTCAACACAAGACCATCAAAGTGACCAAACGCTAGCACCATCCCATCGCCATTGCTCGCCAAAATTTCTGGGTTTTCTTGTTGGGGATCGGTCGATGCGCCGGCAGGCACAGGGGAAGATCTGTGCCTTTGCCGTACGAACGCGCATCTTCCGACCAACCACGACCCGAGTCCACAGCGGGAGGGCCCACATGTCAAATGGCATGCACGAGCCACCCAGTGGATCCGAGAGTACCGATACTTTCTCAGGCAATCATTGATAGACTTCTCAACACCGACTCCTCATCCTTATTTGGAGAAGAATCCAAAATCTCGGGCTCACGGATGCCAACAGTCATTCCGCATGTCACAGAGAAAGATTTGAGATGACGACGCTGATGAGTAATTCGAGCGCAAATCAGCTGCCGAGCCTCATCTTGCTAACCGAAAGCGCGTGCCTGCCTGGTTACATCTGATGCGACGGATCACCATAACGTAAACGATTGCTATACATATTTTCAAAAGTGCCCGTCCATATTGAAATGACACACTGGTCTTGGAAGTTCAATTTCACATGGATAAGGTCCATACCAGGTAAGTCAGCTACCTGATGTCAGAGGTCTTCGACGTAGCTCTCTTCTCTCCCTCAGACCGATTCAATGAGACGCTTGGAGCGAAGGACGAGGCGTGTAAGAAGATGCCGCACCAAGAACCGCCCGACATCAGTGCCGTTCCCGGTCGTCGTAGCTTTGCGGACGAATATTTCTGATCCATGGATCTGCTAGTATCTTCCTGAGCTGCTGGAGCCCTCGGCATCACTCGGTCTGGAGTTGGAAGTTACCTGCGTAATGACGAGGTACCGAGACTTGATGATCCGAGGGTGAGGCTGTGGGGTAACGGGCAGGCATGACGCTAAGCTTCAATTGGTTAGTCTTGATGTTTGGTTGAGAAAGCACCTGCAGGTCGCGGCCGCCGGGGGCAAGGAATGTTACTCAAAAGTTCGTTCAACATTTGCTACCTGGACACGGCGCCCCTTCCCAAGTCTTTGGTCCGTTCGCGGGGAAGGAAATCAACTCTTCGATATTATTGCACTCCGCTTTCTTCTTCCTTGTTTTTGTTTTATCCCCGTCCAAAAACCTCCCCTAAAGACTCCCATTAGTTATCCCTGCCTCCAGCGCACTTGGAAAAGGGTTCTTTCCCTTCACTTCCAGTCACGCCTTCTCGACTTCAGCCTCGACTCCGTCCCACGAGGAAGATTCAACCCAAAGAACTCAAATCTGGGCCAATTGAGGGCTGCCAATCGTTCACGGAAGACACCCATAAATACCCCCCTTGAACGGTCTCGGTTTCGCTCATTCGCTTTTCTGTTCACCCCCGAGCACAGGAAAAAGGACCAAGATGCGTCCCGAAACCGAGCAGGAGCTTTCCCACATCCTCCTCGTCGAGCTCCTTGCATACCAATTTGCCTCTCCCGTGAGGTGGATTGAGACCCAAGATGTTATCCTCGGAGAGCAGACGGCTGAACGGGTCGTTGAAATCGGCCCAGCTGAGACACTCGGTGTGATGGCCAAGAGGACTCTGGCCGCTAGGTACGAAGCGTACGATGCCGCCAAGTCTGTGCAGAGACAAATTCTCTGCTACAACAAGGACGCCAAAGAGATCTACTATGACGTGGATCCCGTCGAGGACGAACCTGAACCCGCTCCGGCGCAAGCGAGTTCCTCGAGCTCGGGGGCACCAGCGCCTGCTGCCGCCTCCGCCGCTGCCGCCGCGCCTCCACCACCGACTGCCGCGCCCGCTGCCCAAGTTCCAGACGCGCCCGTCCAGGCAATTGATATCGTGCGGGCCTTGGTGGCTCAAAAGCTGAAGAAACCTGTCCAAGACATCCCTCTGAGCAAGGCCATCAAGGATTTGGTTGGCGGTAGGTACACATTTCCCCTCATGCGTTGCGTGGTGATGCTGATGACATTATTACGCAGGCAAATCCACTCTCCAGAATGAGATACTTGGCGATCTGGGCAAGGAGTTTGGATCGGCACCCGAGAAGGCCGAAGACACACCGCTTGACGAGCTTGGTGCGGCGATCCAGGCGACGTTTGATGGCAACCTTGGCAAGACCTCACAGGGTCTCATTGCTCGTCTCATCTCGTCCAAAATGCCAGGCGGGTTCAACATTACAACTGCGCGAAAGTATCTCGAGACGAGGTGGGGCTTAGGGCCTGGACGGCAGGATGGCGTGCTCCTGCTTGCAATCACAATGGAGCCGCCAGCACGTCTGGGCTCAGACGCCGAGGCAAAGGCCTTCCTGGACGATGCATCTCAGAAGTACGCTTCCACTGCTGGGATCAGCCTCTCTACGGCCGCCGCTGCTGGGCCGGCTGCCGCTGGCGGGGGCGGCATGATGATGGATCCCGCTGCCATCGAAGCGTTGACCAGCGACCAGAGGGCCTTGTTCAAGCAGCAGCTTGAGCTCATTGCGAGATACCTCAAACTAGACATTCGTGCCGGCGACAAGGCTTTTCAAGCGTCGCAGGAATCAGCCAAGGTTCTGCAGTCTCAGCTCGACCTGTGGGTGGCAGAACACGGTGACTTCTACGCTGCCGGTATCGAGCCAGTCTTCAGTCCCCTCAAGGCCCGTGTTTATGACTCTTCGTGGAACTGGGCCCGCCAGGATGCCCTGAGCATGTACTTCGACATCATTTTTGGAAGGTTGAAGACGGTCGATCGCGAGATCGTCAGCCAGTGCATTCGCATCATGAACCGCGCCAACCCGACGCTTCTCGAGTTCATGCAGTACCACATCGACAACTGCCCGACTGAGCGCGGAGAAACGTACAAGCTTGCCAAGGAGCTCGGTGCCTCGCTGATCGATCACTGCAGGGAGGTTCTCAATGCCGACCCGCGCTACAAGGACGTCGCCATTCCAACTGGCCCGCAGACCACGATCGACCAAGTTGGCAACGTGCGGTACCAAGAGGTCCCGAGACCTAGCTGCCGGAAGCTGGAGCACTATGTGCAACAGATGGCCGACGGCGGCAAAATCTCGGAATACGGAAACCGGACCAAGGTCCAGGACGCCCTCTACAGGATGGTCAAGCTCATGAAGCAGCAGTACAAGTCGCACAAGGGCGCGCAGAACGAAATCATGAGCTTGTACAACGACATCACCCGCTCACTCGCTATGAACGAGAGCCAGATCATCCCCAAGGAGAATGGCAGGATCAGTGGCCTACCGAAGAAGGGCAAGCCAAGAGGCAAGACTGAGACAATCCCGTTCCTTCACCTCCGCAAGAAGACGCAGCAGGGATGGAACTACGACAAGAAGCTCACGAACAAGTACCTTGATTGCCTCGAGACTGCCGCACGAGACGGTGTCACATTCGCCGGCAAGTATGTGCTCATGACGGGCGCCGGCGCCGGCTCGATTGGCGCCGATGTTCTCCAAGGACTCATCAGCGGCGGTGCCAAGGTCATTGTGACCACAAGCCGCTTTTCTCGGGAGGTCACCGAGTATTACCAGTCCATGTATGCCCGGTTCGGCTCGCGCGGCTCACAGCTTGTGGTGGTGCCGTTCAATCAAGGCAGTGTCCAGGACATCAATGCGTTGGTCGACTACATCTACGACACTAAGAGTGGTCTGGGCTGGGATCTTGACTTCATCGTCCCGTTCGCTGCCATCTCAGAGCAGGGCCGTCAAATCGACGGCATCGACTCCAAGTCTGAGCTTGCGCATCGCATCATGCTCACTAACCTCATCCGCCTCCTCGGCAACGTCAAGACCCAGAAGGCCACCCGTGGCTACGAGACACGTCCCGCACAGGTCATCCTTCCGCTGTCCCCCAACCACGGCACTTTTGGCAGCGATGGCTTGTATTCCGAGTCGAAGCTCGGCCTCGAGACCCTCTTCAACCGGTGGGCTTCCGAGGACTGGGCCAATTATCTCACCATTTGCGGCGCCATCATTGGCTGGACTCGCGGCACTGGTCTGATGTCGGGCAACAACATTGTGGCCGAGGCGGTTGAGCGCTTTGGGGTCCGCACTTTCTCGCAGCAGGAGATGGCTTTCAACCTTCTCGGCCTCATGGCCCCTACCATCGTCGATCTCTGCCAGAGCCAACCTGTCTTTGCGGATCTGAACGGTGGTCTGCAGTTCATTCCCAACCTCAACGAGACGATGACTCGGGAGCGCAAGACCCTGACCGAGACCAGCGAAACCCGCCGCGCCGTCAACAAGGAGATCGCTGTGGAGAACAAGGTGGTAAATGGCGAGGCTTCCGAAGCCCTGTACAAGAGGAAGGTCATCGAGCCCCGCGCCAATATCAAGTTCGATTTCCCGCCCCTGCCGGACTGGAAGTCCGAGATTGCTCCTCTCAACGATAACCTCAAGGGCATGGTTGACCTCGAAAAGGTTGTTGTTGTCACAGGCTTCGCCGAAGTCGGCCCGTGGGGCAACTCCAGAACAAGGTGGGAGATGGAGGCGTACGGCGAGTTCTCGCTCGAGGGGTGCATCGAGATGGCGTGGATCATGGGCCTCATCAGGAATCACAATGGGCCGATCAAGGGCAAGCCGTATTCTGGCTGGGTGGATGCAAAGACTGGCGAGCCTGTTGACGACAAAGATGTGAAGCCCAAGTACGAGAAGTACATCCTGGAGCACTCGGGCATTCGCTTAATTGAGCCCGAGCTGTTTGGCGGCTACGACCCAAACAAGAAGCAGCTGCTGCACGAGGTCGTCGTTGAGGAGGATTTGCATCCCTTCCAAGCCTCCAAGGACCAGGCCGAGGAGTTCAAGCGCGAGCACGGCGACAAGGTGGAGATTTTCGAGATTCCCGAGACTGGCGAGTACACGGTCCGCATGAAGAAGGGCGCCTCGCTTTGGATTCCCAAGGCCCTGAGGTTTGACCGTCTCGTTGCCGGCCAGATCCCGACGGGTTGGGATGCCAAGCGGTACGGCATTCCGGACGACATCATCTCGCAGGTCGACCCTGTGGCTCTGTTTGTGCTCGTCTCAACTGTCGAGGCTCTCCTGTCAGCCGGTATCACGGATCCGTACGAGTTCTACAAGTATGTCCATGTATCAGAAGTGGGCAACTGTGTGGGCTCAGGTATGGGTGGCGCGGCGGCTCTCCGCGGTATGCACCGCGACCGCTTCCTCGATAAACCGCTCCAGAACGATATTCTGCAGGAGTCGTTCATCAACACTATGGCTGCTTGGGTGAACATGCTGCTGATCTCCTCGTCTGGTCCGATCAAGACGCCCGTCGGTGCCTGCGCCACGGCTGTCGAGTCAATCGACATTGGCTACGAGACCATCATGGAGGGCAAGGCCCGCGTCTGCTTTGTCGGTGGCTTCGACGACTTCGGTGAGGAGGGCTCGTATGAGTTCGCCAACATGAAGGCAACCAGTAACGCCGTCGACGAATTCGCTCACGGTCGGACTCCCAAGGAGATGTCTAGGCCAACGACCACGACAAGGAATGGCTTCATGGAGTCGCAGGGATGCGGTGTCCAGGTCATCATGACTGCGAAGCTCGCGCTGGACATGGGCGTCCCCATCTACGGCATCCTCGCGCTTACCACGACTGCGTCGGACAAGATCGGGCGCTCGGTGCCTGCGCCTGGCCAAGGTGTGCTCACGACCGCTCGGGAGCACCCTGGCAGATTTCCCTCGCCTCTGCTCGACATCAAGTACAGGCGGCGGCAGATTGAGCGCCGGACTCAGCAGATTCAGGACGACAAGGAAGTTGAAATCCAATACCTTGACTCCGAGGCCGAAGCGCTTAGGGCCGAGGGCTGGACGGAGGACAAAATCGCTGCGTTCGTCAAGTACCGGAAGATGCACATTAACAAGGAGGCCGAGAGGCAGACCAAGGAGGTTCTGCGCAGTTACGGTAACAATTTTTGGAAGAGCGACCCCAGCATCGCTCCTCTGCGCGGCGCTCTGGCCACGTGGGGCCTTACGATTGACGATCTCGGCGTGGCGTCATTCCATGGAACGTCGACCAAGGCCAACGACAAGAACGAGTCGTCAGTCATCTGCCAGCAGCTTGCCCACCTGGGGCGCAAGAAGGGCAACGCGGTTCTGGGCATCTTCCAGAAGTACCTTACCGGGCACCCCAAGGGTGCTGCTGGTGCCTGGATGATGAACGGGTGCTTGCAGGTGCTTAACACGGGTCTCGTCCCCGGCAACCGCAATGCCGACAACGTCGACCAGGTGATGGAGCAGTTCGATTACATCGTGTACCCCAGCCGTACCATCCAGACGGACGGGATCAAGGCCTTCTCGGTCACGTCGTTTGGTTTCGGCCAGAAAGGTGCCCAGGCGATCGGTGTGCACCCCAAGTATCTGTTTGCCACGCTGGACGAGAAGACGTTCGACGAGTACCGGGCCAAGGTCGAGGCTCGGCAGAAGAAGGCCTACCGCTTCTTCCACAATGGCATGATCAACAATGCCCTGTTCGTGGCAAAGGACAAGTCGCCGTACACTGATGAGCAGCTCAGCTCGGTGCTCCTGAACCCCGATGCTCGGGTCACCGAGGATAAGAAGACTGGGAAGCTCACTTTCGCGAGCAACTTTATGAAGCAGTCTGAGAAACTCCAGGAGTTGTCGGGTTCCCCGGAGCACAAGGCGACCATCGAGTCGGCGCTCCGCTCGGCGACGCGGAATATTGATGGTGGTAACATCCGAGTCGGACTCGACATTGAGGACATCTCGGCCGTCAACGCGGAGAACGAGACATTTGTGGAGCGTAACTTCACGGAGGCGGAGATCAAGTACTGCCAGTCGTCATCTACGGGGCGGGCAGCGCAGCAGGCGTTTGCAGGGCGATGGAGCGCCAAGGAGGCCGTGTTCAAGGCGCTGGGCGTCGCCAGCCGGGGAGCGGGCGCGGCCATGAAGGACATTGAAATCCTGACGGACAAGAATGGGATGCCAACTGTCACGGTATGTGTTCTTTGACCCAGAGGCAGTTCAGGGAGGACAATAGCTAACTTTGTTCCAGCTGCACGGTGCCGCAGAGGAGGCTGCGAAGAAGGCGGGCATCAAGCACGTCACTGTCTCGATCTCGTATACCAAGGACCATGCTTCGGCCGTTGCTACAGCTCAGGTTTGATGGATGGCCTGTTTCGGGGTTTGGAGTTCACCGTTTAGAGGAATGGAGTTTTTCTGATAAATGATTGTTTGTCATTTGAGGTTGGCGGATGAGGTGAAATGGTCTAGTCTGAGTCATGGCTTTACACCTAGATCAATCGCGCTTCGAGCCGCGTATAACTAATTATTATTAGAGTAGTTTGCCTTGACGTTCGCGCGTTGAATTGAATGGCTACACCATCTATGAGATTGATGTTGTGCCACTGGTCAACGTTTCTGACCCTGATCTCTGACCAGGCACATCATTGATACACGCCGAGAAGATGAAAGTTATTTACCAATTCCAAACTGTCGGGAATGTGTGACGTTTTGCGGTTTGTTCTGCGATTCCTCAGCGTTGGTCTTGATTACTCCGTATACGTGTGATTATCTGCACAGGCAGTTCCTGATGGGCACGGATGACGGTCGATGCTTGGCAACCTGTCATTGAAGAATGGATGAATGGATGGTCGTGTCTGCCGGTCCCCGGCGCTGGCCGAGCTCCGCCTCGTAGCGGCTTTTTGTCTGCCAAGACGGACCCGCTCGGTGTGGGTTTGCGCTGCGGCGCGGGGGACGCCGTCGAATGGTTGAGGAATTCCAGTCTGATAAGGGATAGGGTGGCAGGTGGGCACCGTGTATTTAAGGGGCTTGCTTACCTACCGCACTGGTCCTTGGTTGCCGAGCAGTTGGCTTCCTCCTTGGATTGTGTTCGAACTTGAACTTGGGAATGGTAATTGGTGTCGTCGGCTTTTGTTCATCAGGATTTCCGGCTGAAGGCATCTCCAATCTGGGGTCAAGGTAGGCCTTCCCTGGCACCTGACTGCATAGAGAACTTCCTTGAACTGACACTACATACAGGGCAACATCTTCACTGTGGCACTTCAGTTGGGCGGTTGGAAACAAGCAGTGCCATCTCATCACGAGCCGTGGAGGGTTCTTCCGGAAAACCAACTACGCTACTGGAGCGCGACTATTGACCTTCCGTGTCACGAATTGGCAAACCCGGCTACATCAACGCTGCCACCCTGAGGAACGTTCCGAATCCGACTTACAAACATCCACAGCTGGAAGGGCACCTCAAAACGCCAACCTGGTTGCAACGAGATGGGGCTCAAGAACAAGCTCTTTCTCGGCACGTTTGTGCACAGCAAAGCACTCGACGAGCTCGAGTACCTGCACAACGCAGCTGTGTGTGTCGATATGTCGGGTACCATTGTTGCTGTCGAGGTGGAATGTGATGAGCTCCGGGCGAGAGAGACCGTGTTGCCGCGGCTAGGGTGGGAGGTGGCCGAGGTGGAAGTCGTAGAGGCGAAAGAGGGACAGTTCTTCTTCCCTGGCTTCATCGGTGAGTGAGAATCTGCGCGGTAATATCCCGCCATGGCAAGACATTGATTGTACGATCCCAGACACCCACCTCCACGCCTCGCAATACCCCAACATCGGCATCTTCGGCAAGTCAACACTCCTCGACTGGCTCAACACCTACACCTTCCCACTCGAAGCCTCCCTCTCGGACCCGGTCAAGGCCCGCCAGGTCTACACCCGCGTCATCCGCAAGACGCTCTCCCACGGCACGACGTGCGCCGCCTACTACGCAACCATCGACGTGCCCTCGACCAACCTGCTCACGGACCTTTGCCTCTCCCACGGGCAGCGCGCCCTAGTCGGCCGCGTCTGCATGGACCAGCTCTCACCCGACTACTACCGCGACGCCTCCGCAGACGCCTCCCTGGCCGCCACCCGCGCGAGCATAGCCCACATCCTCCGCGCTGACCCAACCATGTCCCTTGTCAAACCCATCATCACGCCGCGCTTCGCGCCCGCCTGCTCCCTCCCGCTCATGCGGCAGCTTGGCGCGCTCGCAAGAGAAACCTCGCTCCCGATCCAAACGCACATCTCTGAAAACAAATCCGAAATCGCCCTCGTCAAGGACCTCTTCCCGCCTTCCGCAACTGGCGCAGCCGATGATTCCTACGCGTCCGTCTACGACGCCGCGGGGCTCCTGACAGACAAGACCGTCCTCGCGCACGCGGTGCACCTGACCGAGGCCGAAGCGGACCTGGTGAGCGCCCGAAGGGCCAAGGTAAGCCACTGCCCCTGCAGCAACAGCGCCATCACGTCCGGCGCGGCGCGGGTGCGCTGGCTGTTGGACAAGGGCATTACGTGCGGGCTCGGCACCGACATGAGCGGCGGGTACAGCCCCAGCGTGCTCGAGACGGCGCGGCAGGCTGCGCTTGTCAGTCGGCATGTGGTGATGGGCGCGAACGGGCTGGCGCCCGGGGAGGAGAGAGAGAAGTTGAGCGTGGAGGAGGTCTTGTTTCTTGCTACGCGGGGCGGGGCCGAGGTGGTTGGGTTGGAAGGGAGAGTGGGCGGGTTTGAGGTGGGTATGGAGTGGGATGCGCAGTTGGTTGGGTTGGGCATGATCGGGGAAGGAGGCGAGGTTGAAGGGGAGGAGGACGAGGGCGGGGATGTGGATGTGTTTGGGTGGGAGAGCTGGCCGGACCGGGTCGCCAAGTGGTTGTATAATGGGGACGATCGGAACACCAAGAAGGTGTGGGTGAAGGGGAGGTTGGTTCATCAGCGGAAGTAGAGGCTTGATTCCGAGGTGTAAATGATCGGCGTCAGCTCAGGAGCCGGGGCTCGGATAGGCAGTTTAGGAGCAAGCAATAAGAGCCTTGCGTACCTGATCAATTCCTACGGCAATTTGTTTGATTCCAGTTGGACGTCCTTGAAACTCCTTCTGCTTTAAACGGGCAGCAGGACAACCGGTTGATCAATTGGAGCCAAGCTATATCGAAGCCGCCATTGACACTTACCAACTCAGTGCCGGAGAGAGTGACACCGCTTTTGACATCTTAATCTCTGATCCTGTGTAGTAGGCGCAAGGTCTCGTAAGACTACAACCGCGTGCTGTATGTGATGGCAGAAAAGCACCGAGGCGGCGAGGTGTCGGAACCTGTAGGCCCGGATAGTCCTTGCCGTCCCTCGAGATTGGATGAAAGTTGGAATATAAACCTGGAAAATGAAGGAACACCGGCGGGGTGATTGATAGGAAACTTGCTGGCTCAGCCCGTTACAGAGCCTCTATGCCATTGAACTAATCTCCTCAGAAGAATGCCATTCAAGTCCAACGACTTGAAACTCTGAGGTAACTTATGTCCTGTTGATGGCAGCTCCTACTGCTGTCACACGGTCGAGAGCTAATTACTTAAGGAAGCAAGCAGGCCAGTTAGGAAGAAGCTAAAACTGCTATAATGCTAGCATAGAAGAGCACATTGCAGCATGCAATGTAACGGGCTAAGCCCGTAAAGGCCTCGGCAAACTCGCGGCCGACTCGAGATTCGGCGGACTTCTATCTTGTTGGATATCGGCGCACAGGCCAAGGATGTGGAGGTATAAGACGGCAGATATCTTGCATAGTCTTTCACTCTTTTTCTTCTTCTCTCTCCATTCGAGACAAACTCGTAGAGTCGTCACCAGCTGGTTGCAATATACTCCTGGGACCGTTACATGCAAGACGCTCGGAGCAAACGAAAGCATAGCATTGCGAGCACTCTGAGAATCATGTCAGTATATAGCCACTTTGTTTTAGAGAATTCTGGGACTTCTCCAGTTAGCAATTCTAGTGCAAGATTGTCAATATTCTCAGATATCGCTTATTGTGAACCTTTTGGCTTCACCGAATCCTACCTCGTTATTGAGTTATACATTTAGGAATCTTTCTTAATACTAGAAGACCGGAATTGTTTGTGATGAATCTCGGTTCCCTAACACTGAGAGGGAACTCCTAGAGGTATAATTTGAGACGGGATGAAGTTCAGTGAAGGCAAAGAGTTCACAATAAGTGCACAAGCAATTGTCTCAACAGTAAGTATAGCTAACTGCTTGTATCTCTTACTTGAGAACGTTCAGGGTCCTCTGAAAAGAATGACTATATGGTAACTGAGATTAGTAAAGCCCTTAGTAAAGCTCAGTATGAGCCTACAGATGGTAGTAGGAGCCTCTAAGTCTTACCTTAGTGGGTAGAGGCTTGGGAATGGTAAGAGTTGTACAAAGATATATCGAGCATGTTCTTCGGACTGCCTCAGCGTCGTTACCGCTCTTGGGGTAAGCTCCGTTGGCGGCTGCTCAGTGCGACCGTCGCGCCTCACAAATCATACCACTGCCTGACTGTAAGGTGACACACACAGGTTCACCAAGGAATATCGCACCGAATCCACAATGAGAAGCACGTAGAACGAATCTCGGTCCCCTGATAACTGAAAGGACTCCTGATGGTTAAAACCTGACAATGGGATGAAGTTCGGTGAAGCAAAAGGTCCACAACAAGCAATGCCCGGAGGTACTGACAATCTTGCACTTGAATTGCTTGCTCAGGAAGCTACTGTGATGCCCGCAGGCCTAAGGATTGTAGTTCATATACAGCTTCCTCCCTCAGGTACCTTCATACCCGAGATCACAGCGATCACCTCTTTGGTCGTAATCTGGTGAGCCGCTCACCGCGCTCACCAGTCTGCCCAAGAATCTCGGTGATCCCTCTTGCAGGCCCCATCTCAGCCCAGCGCTCTCAACAACCCAAATATAGTCAAATTAACGCAAATTAAATCAACGCACATCAACGCAAATTAAATCAACGCAAATCAACTTAAGCTTTTGGAATATTTGCAAGTCAACTCGCACCCCCAATTTGCGTTGTTTAATTTGGCTATATTCGCCCAGCCACTTATAACCCCAACCCTGCCCAAGCTCAGCCATTTCCATTCTCCCCTCCCGAGTCGTCCCCTGCCGTGACCTCGGGGCTTCTTGGCAACCCACAAAATATCCACCAAACGCATGCCCGCGGGGCCGCGGCCTCGAAGATTCAGGAGAGATACGCACAGACACACAGTCCGCAGGCATACCGTTGTTGAAGATGACAGAGTCGAACAGGTTGGCCAGCGTACCAGCCGTCGAGCCTGCCTTCCCGTTGCCGCCCAAGAAGGCCGTTTCCAACCGCGTGAGCCTCGCGAAGCAAATCCAAGCGCTGCCGACGTCGATTTCGAGGCTCTGCCGGCCAAAGACCTTGCCCAGTGGCCGAAGATTACGCTGCAGAAGAGGGAATACTTGCCGGAGGAGTGGATACATCGGAAGCGGCCGCGAACCTCTTGGATCGCCTCTCATGGAAGGTTCTTGGTTGAAGTAGTCGGAAACAACGATGTCGGTCGTTACTGGCGTTGCAACCATTGCGGCCAAATTTTCAACGCAAAAGCCACGAGCTCATCCGCCGTACACCTTAACCACGAGCATCAACAGTACAAGGAAGGCAAAGAACCCGCCCGCCCGCCTGTCAAGAAGCACCGATCGACGTTTGGATATGATCCACGCAGCAACCAACACCCCCGTGGTAACAAGACCACTTGGCGATACTTTCAAGTCGCTCCTGCTCAATTGGGTCGTCAGTAACAATGTCCCATTTCTGCTGTCAAAGACCCTTACTTTCGTGACCTCGTGCGCCTCCTGGATCCTGCTGTCGTCTACCGAATGCTTCCGAAGGCCGGGAATACAGTACGATCTTGGCTTGAGGAAAGATATCAAGAACAACGCAATCTGTTGAAGACGACGTTGTCCGCATCGAATTACGCGAAGCACCTGTCGTTTGATCTCTGGACCTCGCCGAACTCGCATGCTTTGCTCGCGATCGTCGCCCACTTTACTAGCGCTGAGTT